CCACAATCATTTTAAGATCGGTTCGATCCTACATGATCGCGTGCCAGTCAACACGCAAATCCCAAACCATCGGTACCCGCCCTCTTCGTTTTCGATCGTACCCCCTTGGGGGTATATCTTCCTTACCTGCCACGCGCATGTAGCGCAGCCATCAACGCAGAGGAAGAAAGGACGGGTGGAAGGGGGAGGGGGAAGGATGGTACACGAGAGAAATTAGCAGGAAGGGGGCTCGAAGCAGAAAGCACGTGGCAGAGCCAGACGGGCAGATCGGGCGGCTAGACCCTAGCGTGCGGGTCAGGAAGGCGGGCCCTGGCGACCGGGTCGAGCAGACGGGCTGCTGAAGCGTGAGTTCTGCATGAATCGCGAGGAAGTCTCGAGCGATAGCGCGATCCCCAAGTAAATCTTGAAAATGGCCAAAATGAGAGCGTGATTCCTGAGTGTCGAGGGCGCGGCGTCTAAATAAATGGCGATGTAGTCCCCCGCGAGAGCGCGAGCCTTCCATAAATTGTAAGGAAGTATCGGGCGAGAACCGTTGTTGTAGTCCGAGGCCCAACAACCCAGCTTTAACACGAACATTTTCCCGCGTAGAAAAATGCGACCCCCGAGGGGGGCACTTTGACTGAAAAGCACAATGTGCACCGGTGGGGGGGATCAGCAATAATGATTCTTCAAGAATGAGCGTTCGCTCTGATCGCTCGCGTGCCATTCAACACGTTTACCCCGAACCCTCGGTACCCGCCCTTTTCGTCTTCGATCGGTAACCCCATTGAGGGCATATCTTTCTCACCCGCAACGCATATTTCATGCAGCCCCTACAGCAGGGGACAAGAGGACGGAGGGAAGAAAGGAACAAAGGAGAGGGAGGAGGATGGAGTTTGAGAGAGAGAGAGAGAGAGAGAGAGAGAGAAAGGGAGAGAAAGAGAGAGTAGCAGGAGGGGGGGCAGATCGGGCGGGTAGACCCTGACAGGCGGGTCGGAAAATCGGGCACAGGCGGCAAGGTCGAGCAGGCGAGTCATTGAGACGTGCGCCCAAAGTAAAACACGAGATTGGCCAAAGCGAGAGCATGATTTCTGAGTGACGACGGCGCGGCGTTTGAATAAGTTGCGAGAAAATTCCACGCGAGAGCGCGATGTCTGCATACATTGAAGAAGTCCAGCGCGAGAGCGCGATTCTTCAATACGTCGCGAGGAAGTACCAGGTGGAAGTATCAGGCGGAAGCCGCTGCTGTTGTTGTCAACCGGGGACCAACAACCCAATTCTGAGACCCAAGATCTCTTCTTATTAACGAAACGAAAACATAATTTCCCCCGGAAGGGGGATCGGCAGTTATGATTTCTGAGAAATGAGAATAGAACAACAGTATCAACATCAATCATTTTGAGATTGTTCGCTCTGATCTGCTCGCGTGCCATTCTGCAAGTATACCCCAAATCCCCGGTACCTGCCCTCTTCGTCTTCGATCGGTACTCCCTAGGGGGTATATATATATATACATATCTTACGTTCAACGTGTATTTAGTGCAGCTGCTACGGCAGGGGAAGAGGACGGATGGAAGAAAGGAGCAAGGGGGAGGAAGGAGGATGGAGCACGAGAGGGAGTAGCAGGATAGGGGGGCCAGGAGCAGAAAACACGTGGCTGAACCAGACGGGCAGATCGGGCGGGTAGCCCCTAGCGGGCGGGTCGGGAATGCGCGCCGAAGCGGCCAGGTCAAGCAGGCGGATTGCTGAAGCGTGCGTCCTGCATGAATCGCGAGGAGAGCTCGAGCGATGGCGCCATTCCCAAGTAAATCGTGGGAGGGGCCAAAGCGAGAGCGTGAGTCCTGAGTGTCGGTGACGCGGCGTCTGAATACATTGCGCGGAAGTACCGCGCGAGAGCGCGAGTCCTGCATAATTTGTGAGGAAGTCCCGCGCGAGACCGCAATTTCTCAATAAATTGTAAGAGAGTATCGGGCGGGAGCCGTTGTTGTTGTTGTTGTTGTTGTTGCTGTTGCTGTTGTTGTTGTTGTTGTAATTCGGGAACCAAGGGCTTAGTTTGGTGACCCTCCGTGTTCCTTATCAGCCCCTTGTTAAAACAACGTGCGAGCCCCAGGAGGATGATTTGAATTGAAAAATTGTTACCGGAGGGGGGACCAATTGGGATTATCATTTGGGAATGAGGGCCCGACAACAACAACGACGTCAACAAAAACACAGCAACAACCAACAACAACAACAATAATAATTATAAGACTGTTCGTTCTTATCTGCTCGCGTGCCATTCTACACGTGTCGCCCGAAGCCTCGATATCCAACCTCCTCGTCTTCGATTGGTACTCCCTAGGAAGTATATCTTTCTTACCTGCGTATACTTCACGCAGCCCCTACGGCAGGAGAATAGAGGACGGAGGGAAGCAAGGAACAAGGGGGAGGGAGGAGGAGGAGGGAGATTGAGAGAGAGAGAGAGAGTAGCAGGATAGGGGCTAGGAGCACAACACGCGTGGCAGAACCAGACTTGCAGATCGGGCCGGTGGACCCTAACGGGCGGGTCGGGAAGGCGCGCCAAAGCGGCCAGGTCGAGCAGGCGGGTGGCGGAAGCGTGCGTCCTGCATGAATCGCGAGGAAGTCTCGAACGATAGCGCAAGTCCCAAGAAAATCGTGGGATAGGCCAAAGCAAGAGCGTGATTCCTGAGTGTCGGGCGCGGCGTGTGAATAAGTTGCGACACGCTGTGAGGAGGTATCAGGCGGGAGCCGTTGTTGTTGTTGTTGTTGTTGTTGTTGTCGTCGTTGTTTTGTTGTAAACCGGACGGGGGCCAGGGGCGCAATGTGGTGCTTCGGTTTCTTGTTTGGGTTTTTTACATCAACACTATATATAAGAAAAACGAAGCACCTTTAATTTGAACATACAATGGTCATTGGGGAGGGGGATCACATATAATTATTCGTTCAAAACGAAAGCCCAACAAAAAACAGCAACAACAACAACAACAAACAATAAGCTTAATACAAATTGCTCTTATGCGCTCGCGTGCCACGCAACACGTATATCCCAACCCCTCGGTACCCGCCCTCTTTTCTTCGATCGTACCCCTTTGGGGTTATATTTTTCTTACCTGCAACGTGTATTACATGCAGCCAACAGCAGGGGAGTAGAGGACGGAGGGAAGGAAGTGAAAATGGGGAGGGAGGAGGATGAAGCATGAGAGGGAGTAGCAGGAGGGGGGCTAGGAGCAGAAAACACGTGGCAGAACCAGACGGGCAGATCGAGCGGGTAGACCCTAACGTGCGGGTCGGGAAGGCGGGCCCAGGCAGCCAGGTCGAACAGGCGGGTAGCTGAAGCGTGCGTCTTGCATGAATCGCGAGGAGAGCTCGAACGATAGCGCGATTCCCAAGAAAATCGTAAGAAATGACACAGCGAGAGCGTGATTCCTGCATACAGTGTGAGGGAGTCGGGGGGGCCTCAGTGGGCAGAGCGCTGAGGCCTCTGTGGGCGCGTTTGGGGCCTCAATGGGCTGGGGCTTCTGTGGGCGCGCTTGGGGCCTCTGTGGGTTGTGTTTGGGGGCCTCAGTGGGCAGCGTGCGGACGCCTCCGTGGGCGCGCTCGGGGCCTCTGTGGCCTCGGGCGTCTGTGGGCTGCGTCGGGGGCCTCAGTGGGCAGCGCGCCAGGGGAGTCTGCGAGCTCCGTCGGGGGCCTCCCTGGGCAGCGTGCTGCAGCTTCTGTGGGCGCGCTTGGGGCCTCTGTGGGCTGTGCCGGAGGGCCTCCGAGCAGCGTGCTACGGCCGCTGTGGGTTTACTCTGGGCCTCTGCGGGTTGCGTCGGGGGCCTCAGTGGGCAGCGCGCCGGGGCCTCTGTGGGCGCACTTGGGGCCTCTGCGGGCGCGCTTGGGGGCATCTGCGGGCTGTGCCCGAGGGCCTCAGTGGGCAGCGTGCTGGCGCCTCTGTAGGCGCGCGGGGGCCTCTGCGGGCTGTGTCCGAGGGCATCAGTGAGCAGCGTGCTGGGGCCCCTTTGGGCGCTCTTGGAGCTTCTGTGTGCTGTGTCCCGAGGCCTCAGTGAGCAGCGTGCTGGGGCCTTTCTGGTTCGGGGACCTCTCTGGCCAGGGCGCTTAGGAGTAGATTGCGAGGGTGTGTCGAGCGGAAGCCCCTGTCGTCGCAGGTGGGCTTCGGGTGCCGCTACTGAATTGCAGTCTCTGGCCATTGGGTCTCGAAGTGCAGCTTGAGGAGGTATCAAACGGGAGCCCTTGTCGTCGTGGCTGGGCCTCCGCCAATTTGGCTGAATTGCGAGGAAGTCTTGGACGAGAGCGCCACTTCTGAGTTCGAGGGCCCCTCTGGCAAGGGCCTCTGCGAATACATCATGAGGAATCGTCGCAGTTAGGCCTTCACAAACTTGATCGAATCACGAAAAAGTCCTGAGCGAGAGCGCCGTTCCCGAGTTCTGGGGCCTTCCTGGACAGGGGCGCCCAGAGTAAATCGTGAGGAAGTCTCGAGCAGGAGCTCTTGTCGTCGTGGCTGGGCCTCCGCCAACTTGATTGAATTGCGAGGACGTCTCGAGCGAGAGCGCCGTTCCTGGGTTCGGGGGCCTCTCTGGCCAGGGTGTCTCGTGGTAATTTGTGAGGAAGTATCAAGCGGGAGTCGTTGTCTTTGTAGCCGGCCTGCTAGGGCACACATTTGCGCTCAAGCCAACGCTCCCGCGGGAGCCTCGTTTTCAGAGAAAATGTAGCCGGCGTCGAGGCGAGAGCGCGCGGAACCGCTTCCGGAGATCAACGCGAATGTTTTTTCTAGAAAAGAAGATTCAACAACAACAACAACAACAACAACAACAACAACAACAACAACAACAACCACAACCACAACCACAACCACAACCACAACCACAACCACAACAACAACAAAACAATGATAATAACACGAACACGCGAATTAGAACAACGACGACGACGACGACGAAGGGAGGAGACAAGGGGGAGGTGGAGGACGGACTGGAGGAGAAGGACGCGGCGGCGGAGGTTGGGAGCCGTCCCGTGGCCAGGGCTACTTCCACTCCGCGAGCACGCTGAACTACCTGCGGGCCCTCTGCGCAGCAGGGGGGCCGGCTGGCACGAAGGACATCAGCGTCGACCCCCTGGCGGCCTCCCCGAAGTTCGCCAGCATGAAGGCCCCTCCGCCCCGGTTCCCGCTCGTGCCTGCCTCCTCGTTCCTCCATCGTCCCGCTGCTCCATCGCCCGATACCCACGCTGCCCCCTAGTGTGAGCCCCCTGCTCCTCGTCCTCGGCCTCTCCCCTTCCGCCCGCCCGCCACCTTCTCTTCTCCCCAACCCCCCGGGGCCGGGAGGAGGGCACAGCCGCGAGGCGCAGGCGGCACAGCCGCGGGCGGGCGGAGCATCATGCCCGCTTCCGCAGCAATAGCGGCGACACGTGAAGGGGGAGGAGGAGGAGGAGGAGGAGGAGGAGGAGGAGGAAGAGGAGGAGGATGTTCAGGCCATGTCCCTTGAAGATCAGGAATCGACCACCACGTACGATCACTGGAAAGGTAGACCAGCAACGCTCACAATGATAACGCAATTCGGCGAAATTGTGGGTGCATCGCGGATGATGATTTCTGCGCGCGCCCACATCCTGCACATTCGCACTTCCGTGTGTGCCCATGTTTTCTTACGAAAGGGTGATGGTGGTAAATGCACCCTCGAGCGACTTGACTTGCTGAACACAGTCGAAGCACATGTGAAAAAAAACAGCCCTGATTTAAGCCAGCTGAAGCGCTGGGGCATGATAGGTAATGACGCCATGAAAGAGTGGTTAGGTAAGGACTCGAGGCCCACCTATCTGGCACACAAGCGGAGCCCGACGAAGCAGAGGTCAAGATTGCTAAGGCTGTTTCCGTCTGGCTGCTTGTCTTCTGCCCCCGTGGCCCGCGGTGGAGCTCCAAGACTGCCCTGGGACTCGTCGGGAGCCCGAGCCCAAGCCCACGGCCCCATCTGTCCAGCACAACTGGGAGCGGTGCCGCACCGTCGGGAGTGCGCCGTGTTCCCCAAGTTGCGACGCCCGCTCCGGGCTCGTGAGCTTCGGCGAAAGTGGCCAGCCACCGACTGCAGGATGCACGGGAGCGGTCCCAGGCGCTGCAGCAAGTAGGAGCCAGAGTGCGCAGACCTTCGGCTTTTCACGGCAGCGACGACCCCTCCCTTTTCATTCGCGTGCGCTGCAAAGCAGCCTCGACGCTAGGCCCGCTGGAACTCTGTGCGCGAGACTGCCGACCCCCAATTCGACACAATTCCGAACATTGGAAATATCATGTTTGAAAGGGTCGCCACCCGAATTCGACAATGTGAGGATTGAGGTGTCGCCCGAGTCTGCTGTCTCCCAACAAGGAGGGAGAGAAGTTGCGCGATCAGGTAAGTGGAGTGCGCGACGCATTCCGCCGAGAGGGGGGCGAAGTCCACTTGGTGCAAGCTGCTCGACTGATTTCTGGCCTCCTGGGGCGGTGCCTTCGCTGTGCGTGTAACGCCGCCAGAGGTCCAGAACTTCAATTGGCGAATCGAAAACGGTTCGCCAGTAATGCCCGATTGTCCAAAAGTTCTCCTCCTCATCTTCCTGACGCTGTCGCCGGTGAGAGAAAGAGAGAGAGAGAGAGAGAACGAGGAGCGGGAACGACACGAGGAAGGGCACAAGGAAGAATAGGAGGCAGCCGAGGAGGAGAAACGGGGACGACGGGGGAGGTCAGGAAATGGAAGGGAGACGGGACCACGCACGCCCCAGAAAGAACCCCTGAGTTTCCACCCGGAGTGCAGGATGGGAGGGGGATGAAAACCTCCTCCTCAATTTTTGTGTTGTTTCTCCTCCTCTTCCTCTTCCTCCTCCTCCTCCTCCTCCTCTTCCTCCTCCTCCTCCTCCTCCTGTGCTTCTTGAGCATGACCCCGCTGCGCGGTGATATTGTGACCGGTCGCGAGTTGCCTGTCAGGGGCGCTATCCCAATCACAATCGACCGGGCACGATCCGCAAAAGACAGGCAAGAGGGGGGCGGATCGATACGTAACAATCCGAAAAGGTCGGACGAGGGCGGCAAGGGCACCGATGAGCCGGCGATCGCGGCTGCCAGCAAAATGGAGGAGGTCGACGAGAAGAACGCGGCCAAGGCCGTCGAGAACCTCAGGACGGCGCCCCGCAACACGATGCCATCGGAGCACACGTTTCGCGACCGGGACAACGATGGCCGTGACATCCCCCCGGTACACCGCAACCTCCGACGATTCGGAACATTGGCGGGTGGCTTAAATGATTCACACAGCAGTGGTTCGAACAGTTGTGCGACATTCGTTACAATCACCGCAGAAACTAACAGTTGGTTTCTGGTTGTAACTCATGGGTAACGTTCTCAGACTTCTACTTAGATGGTGGGCCGCCGGCTACAAAAGCGACGAAACCGCCCATCCAGGCGACGGGCCACGAGAGCAATCATGGATCCGAACAATCGTTCATTAAGGCAAACAGGTTGCCAAACTTGCTTGCGAAACGATTGCCGTCGACGACGACGAGCTGAGCACCCCGCTGGACGAACAGAGCGGCCATGAGTTGGCAGGGCGACTCGCCCAACATAGTTCTAATCATCGCTTCCAAGCGCGAGGCATTCGCAGTATCACTCCCTGCTGGACACCATCCAGGCGAGGTTCGCGCGATGACTCCCAACGCAAATAGAGGCAGCGGATAAATACGCAGTTTGCGAGGACGAGAGCCGAAAGGAGGACGATCGCAACTCTGCGGCACCGAGATGACCGCATGACTGACAAACCAAGGGAACGCACATCAAGGCACGTGAGTGACGAGATCAGAACGCACGGCCACATCGATGAATAATGCCCCAGAGTCTTTGGGTGATTGATAAGACTCACGCGCGAAGCCGCTTCAAGTATCCCAGCCGCAGCCAGCGCCAATTAGCGCTCGCTGCGGATACGACCAAGGGCAACAGCAAAAAGGACAGCGGCACCACGCGCGACCGCGAACGAGAACGCGATTCAAGTTGCGCCCTTTCATCCTTTGGACGTCGGGAAACCAGCGTTGGTCGGAATACGGCGAACACAATATCCTCGAGCAAGGTCTAGTGCTCGCAAGGCAAAACGCGTCAAGTCTTGTTACTGCTGCAGGGATGAAGACTGCGGTCACGACAGAGATCGTGACCGTCAACTGGGTGGCTGCCAAGATCGAGCTGGATCCCGCGACATGGGAGTTACGTTCCGCATGGCGACCCAGGCGGAAGGGGCCGTGTCCCCACGGCGTCAGGGAGCAGAAACAGCACGCGCGCAGGGTGGACAGGAATTCGCAACCATAGTTCTTCGATGGCACCTCGCGCACGTCCGCCCACAAGGCCCCCCACAAGGACAGGCGCATACCTGGGAGGCCATGCGCCCCATCGGCGGCAGGGGCTGCGGGCGACTCAGAATTCGCGGCCAGCCCAGGCGGCAGCGGGGGCGGAGCTCTCTCCTCAGGGCCAGGCCTGAAGGGGAGCTCCAGATCAGATAAATGGAGTCCACGGACAAGCAGCCAGGGCAGCTATGGCAGGCGCGAGCGAGGAGGGGATCGGCGGAAGCCGAACGGGGCCGACAGCACAGACATGGAAAGGTGGTCGCGCATCCACAGAGGGCGGCCGTCGCGGGCCCGACGGAAAGAGAGACGCAGCGTCAGCGGCGACCGCGGGGGGGACCGCGGCCGCACCCCCGGGTGAGATCGCGCGACCTCCCAGCGACGCTTCCCAGCGCGCCACGCTGCATTTGTCTTGTCGGGGAGCGAGGCGAAGGGCATCTTACGCAGACAGGGCGGGGGGGCCGAGCGGGGCGCGAGGGCGGGGGGGGCCCCGCACGCTGGACTACGACCATGCATCTGACCGAACTCACACTGGCGCATTCTCCATCCAATGCAGATGCTGGAATATTTGGAACAGATCAAGCACCTCAGGGCGAGGGGCGCGCGACTTCACGACGGCGACGCGGACGCGGGAGGGCAGAATAATTATTCGATTGCGCCGCGGCGACAGGGGTCGCTGGGCGCCGGACGACAGATGGCAAGCTCGCGCCCAGCGACGCGCCCTGGATCTGCAAATGCCGGAGGGGAGTGAGCGCGCGCGCATCTGCCGCCAGCGGCGGCGCCAGTCGGGGGCCCGGGGGGCGCAGAGCGCGCCGAGTGCGAACGCGCGGGCGTCGCATTGACCCGCCGGGGGCCACCGCGCCCCACCGTCGACGGAGCCCGAGGAAATGCCGGCGCGCCTGCGACGCCGCGGCGACAGACGAAGGGCCCGGCGAGACAGGGGCGCGGCGGGGACTTTCCGCGGTGAGCGGTTCCGTTCAAATTCGGCTATTCTGAAGGACTTGCGAATCTCGTGGCCACGCGCGAACTCCATGGCGGATCGGTGGTCGGCGGCCCAGAGTTCGGCGCGCCGCCGCCGAGAGTCGACGGGGAATCTGCCCCGCGAACGGAGCCGCCAAGCTCGTTCGAGCACTCGGACGCGCGGCCGGCGGACGCTGGCGCGCGCGCGAAGGTCTGCGACCTGGCCGCGATTACTCGCGACGCCCGCCCAGACCCGCGAGTTCAGAACCCGCGATGCTCGACGCCGAGTCGGGCCGGGCTGCGCTAGATCAGAAAGCACTGCTCCTTCTGCGCGCGCGAACTGGTCGCGGGCCAAAACGACGCCGATTGGGGCATTTCGCCCGCGTGCGCTCGCAATCGCGACGCAGATAAAGCGCGCGGGCGCGCGTTTCACCCGGTCAAAATGGCGCCCGCCCCGCTGCGAGCCACGCGTTCACCGATGGGCAAAAGGCGTCCCCTGGAGACGGGCGGGGGGGGGCCGGGGGGCCGAGACCCGCCCGGCGCAGTTCCTGCCGAAGCACGGCGGAGCTTCTCGCCAGTTGTCGGCGACGCCGCGTCGCGCCAGGCGGGGAGGGGAGTCGCGGCCGACCTCCGCGAGGCAGGTGAGCTCACGCCCGACCAACCGGCCGGAGCAGAGGGCCCGAGCAGAAAAGCGCCCGACGCACGCGGCACCCCCTTGCCTTACGCCGCCGCGCGATGGTTGCGAAGATTGCACGGCGAAGTCCACGGGGGGGAATTCCGCGCGGCCAAATTTTTCGACCGCGCGGTCGATCGCGCCCCTTGCGCGCGCGCGCCGCGATGGATCGCGCGCGGGCGCGACGGGCGCCGCCAGGATTGAAGCTCTGGCGCACGACGAAGGCAGTCACTAGCGAGCTTGTTTCTGGCACCAGAGCCAACTGCGATCGTCGACCAGAACCGCCGACGCGGCGAGGTTAACGCGGCGATCCCTGGCGCGGCTCGCAGCGAGGTTCGGGCGGGCCCGGGGCGCCCCAGCGCGCGCCCGACTTGCGCGGGCCGCGCGCGCGTTGCTCAGAGGCCACGAGAGTTACAGCGCATTCCGATCGGCCAGAATCCCAACGCGGAGCCGCCCGTGACCCATGAAGAGGCAGACGCACCATGCACCAGTCGCACAACAAAATAAACAAAGCATCAGGCAACATGGCGAGGGTCGGCGCCAATGGAACCACGAGGAACCAGGATGGATGCAAGAGCGGAGTTCACAGCCTGGGCCAGAGACTGAATGGCCGTCGCTCCGACGAGCCCACGACCGCGACGACGCCCCGCAAAGGATCGAATGGCGGCATCAGCGTGGATCCACAGATGAACGATTCAGAGACTCGCGGGACAAGATTCAGCAACGAAGCTCGCATTCGCGCTTGACACCAGCCCGACCGGGGGCGGGACTTCGGCTTGAGCAAGGAAGGACAGCCAGTCGTTTGGAAATCATGAGGCACGCTCATCCGTCGCCGCTGGAACTCGCATCACAGGCGATGGCGCGCACTGCATTCGCTCCGCGGGCAAAGAATCATTAACGGCGAACCTTTTCTTCTGAGTCACCTGGGGGCGACATCGAAGCCACCCGCGTACACGTGGCGGTTCGACCGCAAAATGAATTGCATCGCGACAGCCACGTCGGCAAGACCCTGGCGCGGCTCAGAAATAATTGAAGGGGACTTCCGCGAACTGGTGAAGGAGCGCCTCCTCCGCATGATGCGACTGGAGGACACGCGCCAGCTGGCCCCGCAGACCGAGGCAAAGGAGCAAATGGGGTGTCACTTGACTTTTGGGCCGACCCGAGGTCGGCTGAACCTCTGCCAACTATCCCCCGGGCATGGAGCACGGCAGGCGCGAGCCGGCAAGCGGGGCGACGCCCATTTGGCGAGTTGAAAAACCAACGCGGCAAGGCGCGCCAGACTATGGATGGACCCAGCGAACAAGTAAGCCAGGGCCGGCGCCATCGAATGCCAGAGCCGAAAGCCCCTGACTTCGCTGGCACTACTACACGTGGCGAGGAGTCCTCCCAAGGCGCACGCGGCGGCACATAGCGGGGCCTCCGCGTTCGCACGTTCCACGGAGGAGCCCGTCGAGCGATGGCAGGGGTGAAACAGGAACGGGGAGGGGACTTGTCTGGCGAGAAGATACATCCTCAGCCAGGCGGAGCGGGCGCAACCTCAGCGTCTGCGGCGAGTGGACGCGCCGAAGAGGCACAACCACCAAAAAGATCACCACTGACCTAGTCGACACCCTCATTCGGCAAAGCAGACAGCGGGATCGAGGAAATTTATTACGACAGAGCGCCAGTGTTGAAGTCTATACCATGGCCCTCACAAGAGGTGGACCGGCAGGAGCGGTTGCATTTGGAGCAGCGCGGCGGCCGCCAGTAGGTAACAAGCTCGCCTTCGAAGGGCGGTTGCGATGAGTTGCCGCCACGACGGAAAAATTATAACTACTTAAATATATAAGCAACAAACTTTTCCACGATTGACTCGACAGCAGACGACGACCGCTCCCAGCACGGCTAGGTGTCAATGTTTTTTCCGCGGCGGAAACATTGGGCATTGTGCACTACGCGGTTGTTATGTGCGGGCGATGTGAGCGACACTGCGACTTGATTGATTTTCTTGACGGGAATTGGGCATGGCACGCGCCGCCTCATGGCGCACTCTTGGGGCGTCTTGGGGGCCTCTTTGCGGTCCTGGGGCCTTTGGAGCGTTTTGGGTGCCTCGGGGAAGCCTCTTGGGACTTTTTGGGGGCCTCTTGGGAGCCTCTGGGGGGCGCCTGGGCGCCTCCTGGGGCACTTTTGGGAGCACTGGGAACAATTTGTTGGGCCATCTTGGGGGACCTCGATCAAAGAATAGAGGACCCTTAGTAAGGGGAAGAAGGCTGGCTGGAAGAGGAAACCCCCTAAGCAACTCGCGCCCAGAGGTTCGCGTCGTCATCCCCCTCCTCCGCTTTGACCTCTCCTCCTCTCCGCACCGTGCTCCCCACGCTCGCCCTCCCCGCTCCCCGCTCCCCGCGGCCACCGCCGCCGCCCCCCCCCCCCGCGCCAGTCGTCCGCGCGGGACATTGGCGGCAAGGACCGGCGGGGTGTCTTGGGCGGGTCGCGTCGCCGCACGGTAGAGGGCGCCCGCCGCCCCGAGCGCTCGCGGAACGGCGAGGGGCTCCGCCTTCCCGGCAGGAGGCCAGGGGGGATCGAATCGGGCGTTTCGCGATGATGGAGGGCGAGGGCTGCAGGAAAGGGCCCCGAAGTAGCACTTTTCTCCCCCCCCCGTCCGGTTTACCCCCCCCCCTCCAAGCAGCGCTCCATCGAGCGGGTGTCCGTCGATCCGTCGAGATCGGGGGGCTCCTTCAGGGTCTCGGCTGGTCGGCGGGCGTGCCTCGCGCTCTGGGCTGGACTGGGGCATCCAAGTCGGAGACGGGGTCAGATGCAGGGCGGGGGGAGAGGGGGAAGTGGAAGGAGGAAGGGAGGAGGAGGAGGAGGAAGAGGGAGGGGAGAGGGAGGGGTTGAGTTGAGCGAGAAGGAGCGCCTGTGATGCTATCAGAAGGCGAAGGTCGGAGGTGCCAAACAAGCGCCTCGCCGAAAACAGTCCCTCAATCTGCGCGCGAACGGGCAAGTGTAATACCCAAGTGGCGGCTCCTCCTTCGGGGGTCCAAATGATGCGCCTGTTTTAATCGCGGCGACCATGAACGAGTCTGAACATGAGGAGCGAGTATAGGTGGAGATGAATGTGAATGCAAAAGTGTGGGTTTGTCTGGGTGTGAGCCGGAGTGCGAGTATGACTGAGTCTGGTTGTGATTGATCAGAGAGGCAGCGGTCTGTGTGTGAGCATGAGTATGATTCACATGAGCATGAGTGGGTGTGAGTGTGGGTGGTTTCAGTATGAGCGAATCTAAAGTATGAGTCGGAGGGTGGATGATTCTAGGTATGCGTGAGTCTGTCAATGAGTCTGAGTCTGAAGATGAGAGGGTCTGTGTGCCGGTGAGTCTGAGCATGATTGAGTCTGAGCGTAGGGGAGAAGGCGAGGAGAGGGAAGAGGAAGGACACGGGAGGAAGGAGGATGGTAAAGGCAGTTTCGTTGATGACGAAAACCCCATGTTGGGAGATTGGGAATAACAATAACCCTATCTCCGGATTTTCAGAACAATGGGAGATGGGAGATGTTAGCTTGTATCAAGCTGGAGTAGATCATGTGTCAGAAAAAGTAGGCCTTGGCTTCTCAGGATAACGTTCACTAGTGGCGGTATTGAACATAGTGGTGCCCAGCATGATGATGCTTCCCCCTTTGCAACCCCAGAGAGTCCCCGGGAGGCTCAAAGCCAACGGTCAGTGCTGGCCGCTTGCCAGTACCAACGCGTCCAGCTCGCCAGGATGCGCCCACCGAGTTCTTCACAGCTCACGAAGCGATGCAGCTGGACCTGGAGGAGGCACCCGGGGAGGAGGGAGCGGAGGAGGGGGAGGGGAGGAAGGCGGAGGACTAGGGAGCGGAGGGCCAGGATCAGGAGGCAAAGAAACAGACAGACACAATGAATCCTCGATTCCAATGAAAATATGGGAAAATCTGGGAAGTGGGGGGGAAGACAAAAACCCAGAAAATATGGGAAAACATGGGGAATCTTTTTATTTGTGTGTATTTATGTTTGTGTGTCCTGGGGCCCCTTCACAGGAGGAGGAAGAGGAGGTGGTGGCAAAGAGGGAGGAGGAGGAGGAGGAAGAAGAGAAGGAAGAGAAGGAGGAGGAGGAGGAGGAGGAGGAGGAGGAGGAAGAGAAGGAGGAGGAGGAACCACTGCAGGAACACGAGCCGTAGCGGTAATTACGGGTCCTCGCAGGCTCAAAAGGAGGGTCGGGGGGCCCGCGCCTCCTGGTTTCAAAAGAGGGCGGGTTCTCGAGTGTCTCTCCTCTTTCTCCCCCTCTCCCCTCGAAGCCTCGCCCCCTCGGCCGCCCTCTCATCCGCCTCCCTCCTCTTTTTTTGTTGCTGCTGCTTCTCCTCCTCCTCCCATTTATCATCATCATCAGCATCATCATCATCATCATCATCATCATCATCATCATCATCATCAGCATCATCATGATCACAATCATCATCATCATCATCATCATCATCATCATCATCACCACCATCATCACCATCAGAAGCATCAGCATCAGCATCATCATCATCAGCATGAGCGTGTTTCCCTATTGCCTGTGGCATGACGAGCGTTATGGCCCCCGCCCCCCCCCCCTATGACGTAACGCTCCCCCCCCCCCGGTGCGCTCCGGGCACTGCCGCCGTGCGCATCAGGATCCGCACATGTGTCAGCTTAGGACTCCGCAAAGGAGTCTGGTCCGCAGTCGTCGACGTCGTCGTCGTTGTTTGTCCTCGTCGCTCGTCGTTTGCGCTCGTCGCTCATCGTCGTCGTGCGCGCTGACACGGCTCGAGCATGTTTTTTTTGGGGGGGGGTTCGGGGCCGGTGACGGCAATCATTTGGAGGAGGGGGGTGGAAGGGGCCGATGACGTCACGTTTCGCGCCGGCGGCGTCTGGAGATGCTTGGGAATGGCCGAGGACGGGTAGCAGCAGCATGGAGGTGGCGATCTGCACCAAAGCGCCTGTGTACACCACAGTACCCACGGACACCACAGCGCCTGTGTACACCACATCGCCTATGGACACCACAGCAGCCGCGTGCAACACAACGCCACTGTGTGCCACAGTGCCTGCGAGCAACACAGCGCATGTGTACACCACAACGCTTGCGAACACCACATCAGCCGTGCGCAACACAGCACCAGTGCACACCACAATGCTTGCGTCCACTACAGCGCCTGAGTACACCACGGCGCCTGTGCGCACCACATCGACCGTGTGCAACAATACACCAGCGTTGCACATAGATTTTTCGAAGGAGTCCGTATGACAGAATGGAGCGCCTGTGGAGCCCAAAGCTCAATATGATTTATACATGTATATAGCGCTTGGGGAAAGAACCTCATGGAGAAAGGAGCGCCGCTGGATTCTAGACTCCTCCCGAGCCCGCTAGTATCATCCTAATTCCTCCCACCTGCGTCTAGGACGCCCCGGCAAAATTGGCCGTCCTAGAAAAAAGTGAACCGATTAAGTTGACCAGTATGCGGTGCACGCTAAAATGCGCACGTGCGCTGTAGTGCCGACCCGCACGACAAGGGGGGAAGGGTGCGGGAGGAGGAGGAGGAAGAGGAGGTGGAGGTTGAGGGGAGGGAGGAGGGAAGCACGTCGCGTTCTAGTATCAGCATTTCCCTGGCGTGGCGTTTAGCTGTCCGTCGCAGTGCACGCAAACGCTGTGGTGTACACCAGCGCTGCGTTGCACGCGGATGCCGTGGTGTTGACATGCGCTGTGGTGTGCACAGGCGCTGCGGCGCACGCAAGCATTGTAGTGTACACATGCGCTGTGTTGCACATGGTTGCTGCGGTGTACATATTCGCTGTGGTGTACAGTGGCGCTGTGGTGCACGTAAGTATTGTGGTGTACACAGGCGATGCGTTGCACACGGCCGATGCGGCGTTCGCAGGCGTTGTGGTGTACACGCGCGCTGTGGTGCACTCGAGTATCGTGGTGTACACAGGCGTTGTGGGGCAAATCGCCAGCTACATGCTGCTCGCGTCGTCGTCGTCGTCGTCGCTCGTCGTTCGTCGCCCGTCGCTCATCGTCGTCGTCGTGCGCGCGGGCGCGGCTCTGGTGCCGGAACCACACGGTGGGGGGGGGGGCGTTACGTCTTACCCCCCCGGCCCCCGCCCCCCCCCCCCCCATGACGCCCGTCATTGCCGAAAATATAGAAACGCGGCCCATCATCAGCATCATCATCAGCAGCATCATCACCATAGTAACCATTTGGGCTCGAGCACTTGCTCGCATCCCGAGTTACCGCCGCTCTGCACGTGCAGGGCCCCCCCGCTTCGCCCCGTGGATGGTCGTGGCTGCGAGGCTCGATTGGATTCTCGCGCAGCTACGGGCTGGGCGAAAGGCTCGTTTCCGATTGGCCTCACATACTGACCGTTTGCTGCTCCGGATTGTCCTCCTCCCCGAGGTAGACGACAAGACGCAGAACGCCATTCTGATCGACCTCATCTATTCGGTGATTGGCTCGCTCCCCTGGACCGTCTCGGTGGACCACGGCCACAAGAACAGCCGAGGAGAGGCCCACATCTCTCTTCAACTTCGGGCTGTCGCTGGACCCGCTGATGCCCCTGTGGGGCCCGACGGACATGATGGAGGAGACGAGGATGATGGACCAGATGATCACCCTGGACGCCGTGCTCGTCGCCGATTGCGTGACCCTTGGCATGGCACGGGTCTGGACCCGTGGTCTTCTGCTGCTGCTGGGCCTGCTGGTGGAGGTAATGATCATAGTTCTTGGGACGATGCCAAGCGTCCTCGGCGTCATGCTGACCATGGCCATACTCCTGCTGATCTGCCTGCGATTCCTGTCTTTCCTTTCAACTCTGATGCGAAGGTCTTCGTGCCGATCGGCGAGGACCATGCTCTCGCCCCTGGTCGTGGACCTGATGATGGCACTGGGAAGGTGGAGGAGCTCTTATTCGAGGACGACGGGATGACCATTGAGGAGTTGCTGCTACTTGCGGGTCCTGATGGTGCCGACCTACCCTGTGCTGGGCGACCTAGTTATGATCCTCTTCTCGCCCCTGGTCGTGCACCAGATTGTTCTCATGGAAAAGTTGAGGAAGTTTTACCTAGCGAGATCAAGGATATGTTCCTGGCGATACAGGCAGACATCGACGTGATGACGAAGTCTCTCCCTGCGCCTGCTCCTGACGCTGCACATCGTCAGGATGGTGTGCCCCCTGCTCCAGAGGGGCCTCCAGCACCCCTTCCTGCCGAAGGATCTGCTGGTGCTCCAGGCATTGCTCCAGTTCCTGCTGCTCCTGCCATTCAGCCTACAGTTGCCGAGTTTTGTCGAGGGCAAGGTTGGGACTTGGACAGGATGATCGGGAGACATGCGCGAGTGGATACTCTACACAGCCGCCTCAATGGGGAAATGGTGGTTATTAGTGGCTGTGACAAATACCAAAAGGCTTGGAATCAGTTCGTAGAGATCACTCCTGTGAGCGTGTTCTCCATGGCCACACACCTGATCAAGGCTACCTGCTTGCGTCTCCCCACGGTGTCCGAGGAACAGCAATGGAAGGGAGCCATCCCTGGCCAGGCGCTTTATCATGATGCTGACAGTCCCCTACCTGCTGTTCCGCGGCTCAGGCGGGAGATTCTTTTCAGGCATCACTGCCCTCACAGTGACGACAAGGTTGATGGCCCTGCCTCGATCTGGGAAGTTTGTCAACGCTCGGCCTGGCCATTGGATCTCTTTGTGCGACGGTTTGCAAATGTGATGGAAGGAGTTTTCATTGGCCGAGTCGGCACTATCTTGTCTGTCGTGGGGGAGGCCAATTTCGAGGTGGGGATCTACCCTGATGGGGACAAGGTCGAGGTCAGTGCCCACGATGTGTGCGAGACCTCGGACCCCTCTTCGTCGTGCCGCTGATGGGCTCCACCGGCCTGTTCGTCGCCGACTGCGGCTGCGTGGATCCTGACAAGCTCGCCGGCACTTCATGGCCGTCATGGGCGCTGGCTCCCTGGACGCGCTGGGTAGCCTTTCGGGGCATTGGGCCTGTCGTGGACCTTGCCCCGGCAGGACAGGGGAGGGCGACGGGGCAGCCTCCCCTCGTGGGCTGCGCCCTCCCTCTCCCCTCCAGGCGCCGCCTGCCTCCTCAAGGTCCTGGACGGGTGGGCGGGGGGCCGCGGGCGGCCGACCTCGGCGTCCGCCTCGGGGCGCCCTCAAAAAAAAAAAAAAAAAAAACATCACCATCATCGCTATCATCATAATCACCATCAGAATGCGATGGAACACCCAAATGTTGAAGGTATTTGGGGAGCCCTCGCTGCGCACCGCCGCCTCTGCAGGAGTGTGGATCAAGCGGGAGGGCTCGTTCCCGAGGCGGCCACGGCCCTTCTTGCCTTTGCCCCCCTTCCAGGCCTGAAGGGGCCCAGGCTCGCAGGCGGCCCCCAGCGCGGCCGCTGGGGCGGCGCCCCCCGAGGAGGGCAGGCGCCTGCGGCACGCCGCGGCTCATGACGATGGCCACGACGCACGCTGGGCGCTGGCCGATGTCCGCCGCGCCCTTCGGCCGTGCCGAGGGCAGCGGCTACGAGGTGGAGTGCTTCGGGGCCGGCGACCCGTGTCTGAGCTGGTGGATCAATTATCACCAGGGCTGCGGTTTCAACATGGTCACGCTCGTGATTTTGCTCGTTTGTCCGGGGCCTGCATCGCGACCCACCTCTCTCGCCCCAGCGGGCGCCCAGATGACGCACGCGCGGGGTTCCGAGATCCCATCGGGCGACGAGGCTGCCAATTTGCGCACGATGCTCAACGCTGGGCGCGACAGCCGTAGAAGCGCCACAGGGCGTTGAGGGCGAGGGCCCCGTCTTTCGGCGCCCGAGGGACTGCGGCGCGCTTGGCGAGTCACGCCAGCCCCGCTGCTCGCGCCGGCGGAGGCCTCGCCCGGCGCAGAGAGGCTCGCGGCCCGCACGGGGCCAGCGGGGGGCCCTGTCGTGAGCCATGACGACGCGACCCCCGAGGAGGATCCAAGGGCCTTCAAGGAGTTGGGTCGCAAGCTGAGTCTCATCGAGCGCGGGCATAGAGGCGAGCCGAAGTCTGGATCGGGAGCTGCAAACCAGAAGGGGTCCGAAGATCTTCGCTCCCACCTGGACGGAGCCCGAGGCCGCGGCTCGCGGGGGCCTCTTGAGGACGCACAGCCTGAGAAGAGGGCCAACTGTGCGAGGCCATCCAGGCCAGGATCACTGGCAACGATACTCGGGGTCTGTCGGCCCCCTTGGCCGCCGAGGGCCTTCGTCGTCGGAGCACGCGGCCCTCGAGACGCTGACCTCCGACCTTGAGAAGTGCAAAGGCGACGGGGGCGGCCTCGGTCACAGCGACGACGAGGCGACGCCTGGAGTTGGACCCGTGAAGTCGCCGATTAGCCTGTGAGAAGATAGCGAAGAAGCACCTGCGCGACTGTCGGAGTGCGAGATGAAGAACACGGAGAGCTTCTTGGGCGATAGCGACCCAAGTGGGATCAGCGCGGGAACGCCCGCGCCCGCGGCCGCGAAGTTCCTCTCGAGGCTGGTCATGCCCGCGCGCCCGATTCAGGAGAGCGACGAGGAGCGCTGCCCAGAGCTTCGATCCATGGCCAGGGCAGCAGACCTCACGGTCGGCGGCGAGCCCGTCGCGAGACCAGACTACCTGCATTGCCGCCTGAAGGCCCTGCGGAAGACCGTCGAAGGCGGCCGCGCTAGCACGACGGAGCGGCCCACGCTAATCCCCTTCAACTACGGCGGGCCCAGCTCGTCGGTGGAGGAGGAGCTCGCGGCGGACACCGAGGCAGCCGAGGCGCGCGCGGCGCAGCTGCGGGGCCGCTTGCGCGCGGGAGGCTCGGCGACCTGGGCCCGCCAGGCCGCCGGCCGGAGCGGCGGCATCGGCTCTGCGGGCAACCCTGCAGCCCCGCGCCGCGGCGGGGGCCCGGACACGGGAGCCGGAGCGGCCCCCGAGAGCGGGGCTGCGGAGGACGCGGCAACGCCACGCGACCAGCCGGCGCGACGCGCGCCCTGCAGATGTTCGCCTCTCCAAGCGCTCCCAGGGGAGCTGCTGGGCGCCCCGCGGGGGCGGCGCCTCGCCTGCGCTGACAGACCGACCTCGCCCCCCCCGGGTCGGTGGACGGGGCGCCCCTGTCGCTCCGGGCCGCCGCATGGGCGGTTGCGCCAATCGGCAAGGGGGAGAGCAGGAAGCCGATCGAGCAGACGATCGCCGAGAGCGCCCATCAGGGCCGCCCGCCGGCGAAGAACGCGGCGCGCGCTGGGGGCCTGCATGGCCAGGCGGACCGCCCAGGCGAATCGCCGATCCCTCCATCGAGGGGGATCTCGGGAGGGGCGCCCCCCCCCCCATGGGCCGGCGGCGCAGCCGATTGCATTCGCGCCGCGGCCGCGCAGGGCCGGCGGCACTCTCGATGCTCGAGCTGGGCCCGGGCCCGATGATCAGCGCGCACGAGGGCCCCCTCAGGGTCGGAGAGTTCATGAAGAGGCCCTTCATTGGCGCCGCACCACGAGGGTTGGATCCGAGGCCGGCACTGCAAGGGGCGCGGCGCCTTCGCCAGCGAGCGAGCGGACCGCCATCCTGCAGTGGGAACGAAATTCGATGAAGAAGGGTTCCTGTCTCCGACATGGGGCCCCGCTCGACGCGCCGGCCGGGGCCGAAGGAGCTCAGGATTACCCGGGCGGTCGCGGCGGCGGCGCGGACATTCGCTAGAGCCACCTGGCTCAATTATTTATACTTGGGCCAGCTTAGCCGCGACAGGCGGGAGACGGCAGGACCGGCGCCAATGCGGCCCGGCAGCAAGCTTAGACGTCATTGAGAAGACGGCCGAGCGGCGCGTGGGCGACGCTGACCTTCTCAGGGATGCCCCACTGGCCGTCGGAGCTGCAGAAGACCCGGGGCTGCTGCAACATGGGCGAGGATTGCCGCGCGCTGCCGCGGAATCATGGGGAGTTCGAGTTCGGGTTGCCCGAGGCAGCCAACGTGGGCAGGCTTGACGTCCTGAGTCGTTCACCTTCCTCACTGACCGCACGGGTCTACGCCGATCGAGAACTGCCCCAACCTGCTGCCGAAGGCGAAGGTCAAGGATAGGAAGATTGAGGACTGGTGGCCCATCGCCGCGCGGCTCGTGGAGCGCGGCCCAGTTCCCCCGGCGTCGCGGCTGCCGAGTCGCTTGCAGGCGCAAGTCAGTCGGATTAGCCACAGTCAATCAGGCACTTGTGTTCTGATCGCAGTTGCCAAGTCAGGAATGCCCGCGGCGCGCGGGAAGAGGGTCTCCGGGCCTTCCTTCACTGTGGCGCCACCGAATGCATGTTTGCGTTTTTTTGGCGGGGGGGCTGCCACGCCGTCACCGTCGACAGCCTGCGACAGCATCTCCCCAGGGTCAGAGCAGCCTATACCGTGGAGCGCGGATGACCAGAAGGGGGCTCTCTTCGCGCGCAGCCTCGCCGAGCCCCAGTCGGGCTACCCGACGGCTTGCACTCGCGCCCCCGGCGAGATACTCGGACCCGAGGGCGTGGGGGCGCGGCTGCTTACAGCTGTGCTTCCGCTGGGCCGAGCGCGCAGTGCCCCGGTCTTCCAGAGCCCCCGCCAGAGGGCAGCCCTCCTGGGGCCGCGGTCGGCGCGCACCGCGTGACCTTTAAGGGCGGCGCGACAGGGCCACGCCCGCTGCTGCTGCAGCTCTCTTGGCCCATGATGGAGTCCGAGAGCGATGGTGCACCCGCGTCGACGACTTTGGCAGCTGAGAGGTGGCCTCTCGCAGGCAGACGAGCCAGCTCAAGGGGGGCGTCGGGCCCCTTCAAGGCGGGATGAGGGATGAGGATCAGCCACCGGCGGAACGACATCCCCATCAACGAGGAAAAGGCAGTCCAGAGAAGGCCGTTGTTCGCGCGCATGGGCGCGGACGTTGACGGGATTGCGGGGTGGGCAGCTGGCGACCGCAAGAAGAACCTCCAGCCGCTCAGCTGCGTGGCTCGACGGCCTGGTTACCCGCGAAGGAGGGCGCCGGCATGCGCACCGCGGTGGGGCTGGCCGAGTTCACCGAGACATTTTCGACGAAGCATGGACATGGGGCCACCGCATAGCTGGGCACGCCGACCAGCTGGTCGTCGAGCACGCCGTGGGGTTGACCAAGTGGGCTCGCTCGCCTCTGCCCCGCGTTCCTCTGGTCAGGCTGTTCGACGATTTGAGTGAGACGGCAGTGGCGCTGGTGGACGCGGGGTCAACAATAGCGGTGTACAGTAGTAGCTAGACGGGCAAGGGCGCTAGGCGAGGCTTGAGGTCGCCCTGGTCTGGCCTGATCGAGTTGCGCACGATCGAAAGGAACGCGGATCGAAAGCTGACGGCGAAGGATGGGGCACCAAGACAAGGCGGAGGCGACGGTGCCCCCCGCTGGCATCCCATGCCAGGACGTCAGCGGCACCCATGCCAATGGCACGGGGGCGGACGGAGCGAAGGGTAGCCTTCTCAGGCAGGCCCCGGTTTAGTCTGCCAGCGCGAGAGCAAGATGAATTTGCCCGCGCATTGGTGTTTGGAAAATGTCGCATCCATGAGTCCCTCTTCTGTCCAGGAGTTCAGCAATGCCCTTGGCATGGCCCCATTCAGTGTTTGCATTTCATTATGCACTATCAACGCAGGCCCTTTCTCAAGTGGCTCTCTTTGAAGGACTCGATCTTTAATGCCCCAGAGGTTCAGGCCGAGCCAAAAGAAGGACGATGACCTCGTCACGCCGGCCGCAATGCCTCGGGCCCCTGCGGGCGCTTGGGCGTTTCCACGGTGATCGTGGGATTCGTCAGACGGGCCTCTCAATGTCTCCCCACAGCGACCAGGGAAGGTTGCTCTGCACAAACCAGCGGCCCTTGCTGCAGCTAGGGCGAAGGCGGTCACGACATGGGCGCGCGCCTGTCCGACGCGCCGCGACGAGCTGCAGAATGTGGTCGGGAACTACCAGGGCGCCTTGAGAGCCCCCTTGTCACGCGGAGAGGGGAGCTCGGATGGTCTTCTCAGAGCACCCCTCCTCTTCCGCAGCTGCCTCGGGCTCGAGTGGGTCGGCCGTCGACGCGGGGAGTTGCTCCCTCATAGGAAACGAGTTCACCTCCTGCGTGGTGGCCTGGCCGTTATTTGGCCTCAGGGTCGGCGAGAAGGCATCGGAACGCGGCCTGCCTCGCGTCGCGCAGCCCTCAGAGGTCAAGGATCTGCTGGGCGAGGCCGCCGAGTTCCCGCGGAAGTCCGTGCGAGATTCTCTCCTTCGCCAAAAGTCAGCGGAGATCTTCCCGACGATTGTTGGAGATCCGGCTGGTGACATTCGACAGTGCACTGGCGTGCTGCGTCGTCCAAAGGCTTGGCCACGAGCCTCAATCGACCCGGCACTGGAAGTGGAGACCGACCCTGTCGGATTCTTTGGATCACAGCGTCAAGGACTTGCACGTCGCTGCTCTGGAGCCGAGGGCTGTCAGCGCGTCGTTGGGCCACACAGGGCGCAGGATAACGCGTCGAAGTATGAAGGTGCTGCACCGTGTTTACGGCTCAATGCTTCCAACGCGAGAAATGACATCTTCGGCAAAGTTTCGAGGTCTGGCCCGAAATGTCGCGGCCGTCGCGGCGAGCCCTGGTCTCTACGTCGGCATCGGCCAAGTCAACACTGAGCCGGGCCGAGCGGTCATCCTTACCACATTTTTCGGCAATGGAGTCCAAAAGGGCCCAGGTAGAAGCCGGGTTCCAGCAAAGTTTGGTTACGCGGACGCTCGCAATTCACCGTGCGAGACCCTGCTCCATGATCTTGATAATATATATATATACACACATACATACCACAAAGGCTGGACGCTGCAGATATGCGCGGTGCCCTGGGCAATTCTTCACTTGGCGGCGGAATCACTGTTGGCAAATACGCAACGTCAATCGGCTGATTGAGGGCTAGCAAAGGAACCATGCTAGACCTGGCCTGAGTCGCTCTACTTGGTTGTGAATGCCGCCGTTGCTTGCAATGGCTGGCCCCAATCTCAGGGACGGCATCGCTCGCAGACTCTTTCAGCCTGGTGTACGGCCCCGCAGGCCAATTGCTAAGTTGCTGTGTATGTTGAGCTCGACGGCAGGGGCTTCCCGTTATATTGACTGCGTCGAGCGCCCCAGCCGGCGATTTTGATCCGAGCTGACGCTCCCCGCTGGAAATATAGAGTCTACAGGGATCTGACAGGTTGTCAAGCCCCAATCGGGCAGCCTGGAGAGGGCTCTCGATGGGGGCCCCTGGGTGCTGCAAACCCGCTCAAGGTAGGTTTTATGGTGCGCGGTTGGGCCCTTCGGCGCCTTCGCACTCCGCCCCCTCTGCGCCGACGGCCGCCGCCTGGCCTGCGCCGCGGCGGTCGGTCGGCGGGGAGGTCGCGCGCGCTGCCGATGGTCGGCCCAGCCAGGCGCCAGGGGCCGCCCTCGAGATGAGCTCGATGCGCATCCCAGCCCCGCGGCGGCGCGACGCCAGAAGAAGGGCCCTTTTCCCAGGCATGCGACGCAGCACCCAGAGGGCTGAAGGCATGCCTGGGGTCCTCGCTGCGAGCCGCCGCCCCTTGCAGGAGCGCGGCTCGAGCGGCCCACCATCCACCCCCCTAAGGCTGCCACCTGTTCTCCTCCTGGGCTCTCGAGGGGGGCCCTGGTGTTTTGTCAGGAGGGAAACAAACACACAGACACAATTAATCGTCGATCCCCCAGAAAATATGGGAAAATATGGGGGGTTATTTTATTTGTGTGTATTTATTTGTGTGTCCCAGGGCCCCTTCATTTTGAAGCAGTTTAACTTCGGTTTGCTGATACGCGGCCGGGTCCTTCGGCGCCTCCGCACCCCGCCCCCCGCGCTGACGGCAGCCGCCTGGCCCGCGCCACGGTGGTCGGTCCGTGCTGGGGGAGGTCGTGCGCACCGCTGAAGGTCAGCCTAGCCATGTGCCAGGGTTTGCCTCCAGACGAGCTGGATGCGCGCCCCGAACCTGCGGCGGCGCGACGCCAAAAGAAGTACCCGTCCCAAACATCAGCATCATCGTCAACAGCTACACCATCATCATCGTCATCATCACCATAACCACCACCACCACCATCAGCATCAACATCAGCATCGTCATCATCATCATCATCATCATCATCATCATCATCATAATCATCATCCTCATCCTCATCCTCATCCTCATCATCATCATCATCATCATCATCATCATCCTCATCCTCATCCTCATCCTCATCCTCATCCTCACCACCATCATCATGATCGCCATACGCAGCCACTTTGGCTCAAGCCATGTTGGCTCAAAGCCAAGATGGCGAAGCAATCGCTGCCTCAGCGGGGCAGGCTCCCTCCCAACAAGGCACGGCAAAAAAGCGTCCCGCACAGCCTTTCACGTCCAAGACCTGGTCCGGCCCGGGCAACTCATGCTCAAATCCTGGTCCGCCCCATGCAACTCCATGTCCAAGTCCTGGTCCGCCCCCGGCACGTCCGAAGTCCTGGTCCGCCCCAGACACGCTCCCACTCAAATCCTGGCCCGCCCCAGGCAGCTCCTGGCATCGCTCGCGCGCGCGGTGGCCGCCTTTTGACACGCGACTTCGCCGCCGACCTGATGAAAAGAAGAAACACGCCGTCAAAGATCAGCTCGTTCTGTTTTCGCGCCAGAGAGCCAGACGGCGCATGTGCTTTTCGAGGGGGCCCTCGGCACACAGCGACGTCGCACGCGCACGTGCGCGCGCAGTCAGTGCACAAGTTGCCGGGCAGCGTCGCTAATTTGCTGGCGGCCCGCCGATGGCCCAGCCTGAGCCCTGCTGGGCGAAGTGTCGGAAACGTAACCGCAGCGTTTTCGCAAGGCGCGCGCGGCATGGCGGCGCCACTGCCGGCGCGGCAGGGGGCAGAGGTGCGCGTCCCAGCCCAGCCGCGCGCCTGGTCAGCATCGGGCCTCGGCGTAGGTCTGCCTCCATTGCGGGCGCAGCGGCGCCCAGCACGCAGGCAAGCCGCGCAAGACATGCAAGGTCAAAGAATACACGCTCCAACAGCAGCGGGCGCGGAGGGGCAGGGAGAGGAACTGATTTGGGCCCATGTTCTGCCAGGCACTGTCGGGACCAGACTTGGAGAACAAAGATTGCGACTCCTCGTTGCTACTGCTGTCGCCACCATTGCCACTTGCCTTTTTCATTACGGTCTGGCGAAACTCGCGACCTTAATGTCAGTTGTGGCGGCATTCATTTGGCCCGCAAGTGTTCCGATGATGTCCCGAGATTGCCTCGCGGATGTCCCGAACTCACCGAACGGCACTCGCTGCGAGATCGTGAGTGAGACTTGTTGAGAGGTCATAATGAGATCGGAATGAGGTATATGGTGAGGCCGATAGTCCGATCGATTAAGAAAAATCGATTGTGACATCGATACTGAGTCCGATAATCAGATCGATTGTGAAACCGGTTGTGAGATCAGTCGTGAGGAGTCGAATTCGAGGTCGCATTCATGTATTGTGAGTTCCGTCGCGACTGTGTCGACTTCAATACCATCACCATTATTCATGTTCACCCTGAGCGTCATCGTGCCATGTCGCCATCTCCTCGCCATCGCAGTCATCGCAGTTATTGTCAGTGGGTTCTCCTCCCCCCCGAACCTCCTTGCCACCCGAAGGGTGGTCGTATAGGTGTCTTCCCTACCTGCCGCTAAAACAGGGGAGGGAGGGGAGGAGGGAAGAGACAAGGGGGAGGGAGAAGGACGGAGCACGAGAGAGATTCGCAGAAGGAGGGTTAGGGGCAGGAGTACCAGCGGCAGAACCACACGGGCGGGTCGGGCGGGCGGACCCTAACGGGCAGGTCGGGCGGGCGGGCCCAAGACGGCCGGGTCCAGCGGGCGGGTCGTTGAAGCGTCAATCCAACAGAAATCGCAAGGAAGTTTCGAGTGATAGCGCGATTTCGAAGTAAATCGCAAGGAAATTCAAAGCGAAAGCGTGATTCCTGAGTCTAGGGCACGGTGCCACAATAAGTTGCGAGGAAATGTACCACGCGAGATCGCGATTCCTGCATACATTTTGAGGAAGTCACACGCGACAGCGCGAATCTACATTAAACTTAAAGGAAGTATTGGCGGGAGCCGCTGTTGTAGTGGGGGCCAACAACACAGTTTGAGGACCAACATCTTGCGTGATAAAATCCAGGTGCGATCGCCAGGAGGAGAATTTTCATTGAAAAGATAAGGTGAACGGGGCGCACCGCGGAACCCCACTTCAGCCACGCACTTAGGGACAGCGACTGACGGTTCGGACCCCTCTCTATGATGTTAGTTAGCCAGGGCGGACCCCAAACAGGAAAGCAATTATTGCACTGAGGATGTGTAGCTATGGGGTGGAAGTCATGTGGAGCAGTATACGTGGTGCAAGCTAGAGACGGCAACGAGGCTGCAACGGGCGGCAAAGTGGCGAAACCTCGCCGGGTCCACCAAGCGCACGACGCGGCAGCGAGGCGGCAATGGTCGGCAACGTGGCGAGATCTCGCTGGACCTGCCCAGCGCACGAGGCGGCAACGGGCGGCAGCTTGGCGAGAAACCTCGCCAGGCCCTCACCATTCCTTAGGAAGAGAAGCAAGAACCCCTTAAGTGCAAGCACTGTCTGGGGAATCTGCATAGGTATGAATAGCAGTGAGTGTGGAGAGTCGGCCGCGCGTGAAGGGGACTGTGCGGCCAGCGCCCCCGAGGCCGCACCTGAGCGTCACCTTGTCTCACCCCTGTCTCTGTTCTGCCTATCTCTCTGTTCCAGTCTTCAGGGTCCCCGTGCTCACACGCCCTTGGTACTGGCTTGTCATGGACATGCTTTCTTCGCCACGCCACCCCTCGCCCCTCCCTCCGCCTCCACTGAGAGGCACTGACCAGAAAGGCCGGCGACAAGTACTACAATTTGAGCGCTCACTTGGTGTGGATCGGCGACCGCACCCGTCAGCTGAACGGTGCGCACGTGGAGTACTTCCGCGGAGGGGGCGGCGGGCACGCGTTGCTGGCAGAATGGCAGAAGTATTGTGGGCATGCGCTTAGAGCGTGAGCGTGAGCAGAGGAAGACGCGCCCAGGGTGAACCAGGCCGCGCTCCCGCGAAGGGGCGCCGAACCCAAGACGCCACGCGGCGACGACCCAACACACTTTCTTGGCGTCGCGGCCCTGCGCGCAGCAACATGGCATAGAGGGTCGGGAAACAGAGAAACGCGCGCGCAATCCACACACACACACACACTCACTCTTTGGCGGTCGCGGCCTCGCACGCGGCGACGAGGCACAGCAAGTCGAGCACGGCGGCCGAAACCTAAGCCGGTGCACGCGCGCGCCGGCTCAGAGGGGAGCAGCACATTTCCATCCAGGCGTGGACGGTGGGGAGAAGCAGATACATTTTTAAGAGGGCGGCGCAGAGGGTCCTCAGGCGCGAGCAGCAGATGGTAGTGCCAATTGCGACCGAACATTGTCGAAGGCCCAGTGTACAAACCGCTACACACTGTCAATTGCAGCAATGGGTGGTGTGAAAAAGAAGTTGTAATTTCAAGAAAAACATACACATGCGCACACACTGTTGCCCACTTGCAGAACGGGATGTCGTCTAAATACTGGCACTCTGGCCCCTTCTCTCAACCCCTTACAGATCCTAAGACCTGAAACTTCGTTCATGGAAACACGCTTGCACGTCAGCACATGGGGGAGTCTCAGTTGGCCAGTGTCACATCTGCTGACCACTGGCCACCTCCGACTGGCATTCAACACCCGACCCAGCCTAACTATTTGATCGGCTGCCTCTTGGACCAGGGGCGGTGTAACGAATGTAAAGCAAGAGCGAGTCCAATGTATTCTAGAGCGCACGTGAGCCACGATGACAGCCATCGTGGAAGGAGCCCAATGCCATTGCGACACAATGTTGCAACCACAAATTGAATGTGTAAGCGGAGCGAATGTACAGCACATGCGATTCCCATGTGGCACGTATGAGAGACGAACATGCGAAACGAGAAGCACATGTGAAACACATTCAAAAGTCAGTGTATGCACCACAGCAGCGACACGTGTCGTAGCTCGTGTAACCCGTGCAGTGGACATGAAATATTGACGTCTCGTGTATCCCCCAGCTCATATAGAAACGATGCCCATGAGAGCTGACGGAAGAAAGAAGGATGAGGCACATCTAGTGACAGTAAAGAGGCAACAACGGTGAATTCAGAGATCTCTCGGAGCGACGGGAGGCCTTGGAGCGCCTCTTGAGGTAATCTCTTGGGCTCGCGTGTGGCCCTAGTAGAAGAGGAAGGGGCTGCGCTGGAAGAGGGAAGAGAGAACCTGTAATATCGCCTTCGCCCAGAGGGCTGGTGGGATCTCTTGCGCCAGACCTTCGCGTCACAGTCACCAGATCTACAGTGCTCGAGCACGTAGGCCCCAGTGGAGTCGTCGAGGCTGTCGATGACGACATTCCTGCTGGATTATGGGAGGAGGAGGAGGAGGAGGAGGAGGAGGAGGAGGAGGAGGAGGAGGAGGGTCCGTGGCGCCCCAGATGCAACCCGGCAAGGCTAGCGGACTAACTTTCCCAGGCGAGTACGAAGGTCTCAAACAGTTGAGGTAGTTGCGGCGTGGCCATGTCGATCGAAAAGATAACACCGCAAGACGCACTGGCGAGATCGTGGACGAGTGCACCTGAGTTCCTACCAACCTACATGTGCTTATACCCGGCACCTCAGGTACCATCCTTATCATTGTCCTCATTCTCCCCGTCGTCTTCCCACAAAACACGCATACGCACACGACAGGGGAGGAGGGCCGGCTCGGAAAACTAAAGCGTTCGGAGGTTGATGAGTTCGAGGTTTCCAGGGGTGCCGAGCTGCAAAGTTGCAAGACCGTGTGACGCGGCTGGGATATGCGTAAGGGGTCAGTGCCAAGGCAGCGCAGCCCTGAGCCCAGGGAGCCCAGGGAGCTCTGCCATGGTCCTGCCTGCGGCGAGGAGGAGGCGAGCCAGGGCGGCCTCGATGTTCTGTGATCAGGCCCTTGGGATCCGCAGCGCAGGCGGTTCCTGGGCTTGGCGGCGGCGGCTCGAGCCTCCGAGAAGGGAGCGAACGCACACGTCTGCGACGCTGCGGTGGCGCACTCGCGGATCCAATGCAGCAAGGGCACGAGAGCGATCAGTTGCGCCGATTGTGCGTGTGGCAGGTCCGCTCGTGGGGGGTGAATCGTGGCTTCCTGTGTCAGGAGCGGGCCATCCCGAGCAGGCATGGATGCATTCACATGCGAACACACTGGCCCAAGGCGTGCTTACACGGTCGTGTGCGCATGGACAGTTGAAGCAGCAAGTGTGCGACAGCGGTAGGACAGAAGGAGTTATTCTGGGCATGAGCAATCTCATAGCTAAGGAGGGCTATGCCAATATCATGTCATTATCGCGCAAGTGCCGTCGACAGGATGGGAGTGGAGGAATCGCTAACCCTGTGGGCGTAAAGGTGGGCCCCTCGATGAAGGCAGACGAGCTGCAAGATTTGGTGAAGATGCTGAATCCTACGAAGGAGGAGTACCCTAGCACAGCGCTTGCCACCCAGAAGAGTGCCATGCGATCTTGAGGTATCAGCGGCGCCACTCGGTGAAACACCGTTGTTTCTGGCGGGCATCCTTCCCCAGGACCAGCGCAAACCTCGCATCATCGCCGACGACGGGACACTTGATAGCGTCAGCACCCAAACGTATCTATAGAGAGAGAGATATGTGTATCACCTTCTTTCCTATCGACCTTCCTACTCCAGATCGCGTGTCGAAGACGCTTGCGGCGAGTCCCCGCCCCCTGCCTTCTGGAAGCACCTGCGTCGTGAAATGTCAAGCGAAAGTTCGGCCACGCCAGTGAACTGCATGCTCTCCCAGCCGTGGGGGAATCGACAGGGGAACACACAAAGGGGACGGCCGTCTTGGTACGCTTTTCTGGCCTCTGGGGCCTCCTGTGCCCCGCGCGGGCGATGTTCGGCGACCTTGGGCCGTCGGGCCGCCTTCGGAGGCAGTCTTGGGGGCCTCTCCGGGCCGTCTCAGTTGGGGCTCGTCAGGGCCGTATTGGGGCTCTTTGGTGCCGTCTTGGGGCGATAGTGGAACCTTCTTGGGCCGTCGTGAGGCCCTCTCGGTCGGTGGCTTTCTGTGCCGTCCTGGAGCGATAATGGAAGCCTCTTGCGCCGTAGTGGGCAGCCGGAAACCCGAAGAGGCGAGCACGCGAAATCCATGGAGCAATTGATCAGGAACTCCTTGGGCGAAGGACCCAGCCATACGCAGGCCTGAGTGTCGCAAGGCAGGCGGGGCGAAGGGGGGGTGCCTGCCTATGGGGCCACGAAGCGTGTGAGGGGTGTGCCAAAAAGGGGCGGTGCCGCCATGCGGAAGCTGCCACTGGGGCCTCCAGTGGAGCCACCGATGGGGGGCACGACGCGTGTGCCAAAACGGGGCGCGGCCGCCGTGCGGGCGCTGCCACGGGAGCCGTCGGTGGGGCTCCCCGCGGGGGCCATGAGACGTCTGAGGGATGTGCCAAAACGGAGCAAAGCCCGCCATGCGGGCGCTGCCATCTGGGCCTTCGGTCGAGCTCCCTATAATGAGGCCGCCAAACGTGTGAGGGGTGTGGCAAAATGGGGCGGGCCCGCCATGCGGGCGTTGCTATTGGGGTCTTCGGTGGAACTCCCAATATCGCCATGGGACGTGCAAGGGATGTGCCGAAATGGACATGCGGAGGGCAAAGGCACGGGTGGGAGGAGGGAGAAGGAGGAGGAGGAGGAGGAGGAGGAGGAGGAGGAGGAGGAGGAGGAGGAGAGGCTGGAGAAGAGGAGATGAGAGGAGCAGGCGCGGCGCGCGGCTGATTCAGAACGAGGACCCAACACCACAGGATGGAAGATGAACGATGCTGATTCTGGAGCCCTTCCTTAGGGGTCCTCTTGAAGGCCCTCTGGCCCTCTTGGGGCGTCTTGGACGCTTCTCGGGCCTCCTTCAGGCCATCCAGGGCCGTCTTGGAAGCAGCTTCAGCTTTCTTGGGCCCATATTGGGTCATCCTGGACGTCAAGTCGGCCATCTTGAACGGATCTGATGTCGACCAGGGCCCTCTTGAAGGGCCTCTTCGCGCCATCTGAAGCAGAACAGCATAAGCTATGACATTCGGTCTGGCAACGCGCTTCAGGTAAGCTGTGAGAGCGGCGGATCGAAGACGCCCACGATGAACAACCGCCACCGCCGCCCTCTCCCCCCCCCCTGCTTTGTCAATATGGAAACGCCTATGTGGCCAAACGTTTGGCCGACATCTCACTAAGCTGTTGGACGTTGTCTTCACCCAGCCGTTGCAGAAAGCCTGGAGGGAACAATGAAGGGAAGAGAAAGCGGGGCATGTATAGGGCGAGGAAGCCGACGAGGAAGCTATCTATTTTCCCGCGGCCTTTTAGAGGGAGGAGATTGAGAAGAAAGAGGAGGAGGAGGAGGAAGAAGAAGAAGAAGACGAAGAGCAGGCCACTTGGGGCATCTTGCTTCCTGGACACTTCTTGAGGCATTTGAGAGCCTTTCGGGGGCCTCTGGGACCTCCTGACATTCAAAGGCCGTCTGGGGGTCTTCCCAGGCTGTCTTGGTGGCACGTTGAGGGGCTTCTGGGCAGTTTGGGAAGTATTGACGGCCGCATGGGCCCGTCTTGGCGAATTCTTGGGCCGTCTCGGGGCCATGTTGCGGAGCTCTTGGGCCGTCGGAAGCCCGGAAAGGAGCAAGCGCCTAAATGTATAACAATATCTTTAACAGACGCACCAATGTCAGCCAGCGTGGACCCCACATTGTCATCTCTTGAAACCTGCGCGGTGCAAAGAATTGCAATTCAAAGCAATGCAAAGCATTGCAATGCATTGCAATGCAAAACAATGCAAAGCATTACAAAGCAATGCGAAGCAATGCAATGCAAAGCAACGCAGAGAAGTGCAGCGCCATCCAAAGCAAATGCGATACAGAACGAGACAACACGATACAACACAACGCAAAGCAGCGCAAGGAAGTGCAAAGCAATGCACAGAAAACGCGGTGCGAAACGATGCAGAGCAGTGCAAAGCACCGCGGGCGCAGGCGGACGGCGGCGACCGGCGGCCACCAGCCGGACGAACGGGCCCAACTGGCGGCGGCGGACGGCGGCGACGGCGGCCACAGGCCGGCCAGACCGACGGCCGGCCCCGTGCTTTCACCGGGTCGCGCATGGCGGCGACGGGCGGCCACAGGCTTCGGGGGCGGAAAAGAGGGGGGTGATGACTAGGGAAGGGTGGATATCATGGCGCGGGCCATGATATTTCCCCAGATTTCATGGCGCCGCTTCTTATTTCTTTACGTCCCTGGCCCCCCCGCTGGGCCGCGCACATGCCGCCGGTCATGATTTGCACACCCCCCTCTTGGACACCCCCCTCTTGGCCGCTCCCGACACAGGCTGGCCGGACCGACAACCAGGCCCAGCTCCTCAGAAGAAGCGCAGGAGCCCCTCAAGTGCAAGGCACCGTTTGGGGAAGCTGGAGCTCTGCGGGGGGGTCTTCCCGGGGGTCTCCTTAGACCGTTCTGAAGGCCTCTTAAGGGGGCCTCTTGGTCCAACTTAGGCGTACTGGTGCCATATGAGCCGTCTGGGAGGCGTACTGGAGGCCATCGTGGACGTATTGGAAGTATGTTTTGGGCCCTCCTGGGCCCTCTCTGGGTCTTCTTGGAGGCCTTTTGTGGGGCCATCTTGGGGTCCTCTTGGGTTGCCCTGGGCAGTCGGAAGCCCGAAAAGGATCAAGGGGAAGGGCCCCCGAAGATCCTTCGGGTTCCTCCTATTCGGCCTCTCTTGGGGCCGTCTTGGGAGCCCCGTGGACCCCTCTTGGGAGCTCGTCAGCCTTTTGGGCCATCTTGGATTCTCTTCAGAAAATCCCAGAGGCCCACAAGAGGGCCCCCACGACGGGCCCCAGGGACCACGTTTGAGCACGCTGGCATCCGAGGCGTCTGGAAAAGTCATGCGGGAAGCCCCAAAGGTCACGCGACAGGGCCCTGAAGATATGGCAGGTGTGGCTCCAGGCCCCTTGAGACATTCATTCTGCGCAACTCAGAGGACTGTAAGGGCCTCAGGATACTCCGGTCAGTGCCCACGGCATTGTGGCGGACCGGTTGCGGTGAACAGGGGTTCGCGAGTTCGTGACCAGTCGTTGTTTTGCTCTCTCATGGCGTTTGCCTCTGCATGTCTGGACTGATGACACGCCGGGCTCACGGCAATATGTTCTTGGCATGGTGTCCGAGCGTCCATGCAGGTTGCCATCCATGCCAGCCACCTCTTTGGAATGCCAGGGTGCGGGACGACAGTCCTCTCTTTCATCCAGCTACCTGCAGCGAACCCCGCCACCGTGCCAGCATAGGTGTGCAGCACGAACGAAAGTTGAGTTTCATAATCCATCCAGTTCAGTGCCCTGTATGAACTGGCGCGGATCTGACACACCCCTCCCTTATCAGCAGTTTCGTGTTCATCCTCCTCCTCCTCCTCCTCGCCCCTCGTCCCTCGCTCCTCCCCGTAATTACCTCTTCCCTCTTGAGGGCATGTTGGAGACTTCATGGGAATAGCTTGGGGCCCCTGGGGGGGCTTCTCGGGGCCCTCTGGGGGGGGCTCTGGGGGGCCCGCTGGGTGCCCGCTGGGGTCGTCTCGGGGCCGTCTCGGGCGCCAGAGTTCTGCCGAGACCTCCCGCAGAGGCTCTGCTGAAACCATCTGCGGGACGGCTCCAGGATGAGGGCCCAGGTTGGGCGGCTCAGGGCCCCTCTTTGGGCGGGCTCGGGGTGGGGCGGGGGGGCTGCGGGCCAGAAGGAGGCGAGCCCCCGAACCTCCCGTTTCGGGTGACGTGTGTCGCCTTTCGCGCGGGAAGTGGAACGAAGCCTTGAACTTGTGCGGACACGAACTCGAGCAGAGACCTTCGCCAGGGCGCCCCCTTCGATGCCTCGCAAAAGGCGCTACCCGCTGGAATGGCAAGAGGCTGGGCCGCCCTCGCCGCTGCACAGCGCGTGGGCGTAATTTTTATTTTTCTGAAGATTACGGTTGCCGGCTCGCTCCCCGCGTTCCCCCGTCGGGTTTCGATCGTGGGATCGGCTTGTGATCGTGTCGTGTCTGACAGGGGCCTGAGACCAGCGACGTACCCTCGCAACCTGCAACGTAAGGCAAGGATCCGAGCCGGGCTAGAGTCGATGCGACACTCCCTTCCTGGGGGGCACTTGGACCACTTGCCACCTGGCCGTTGGGCCCGATGCGTCGCATTTGCTTGTTCCGAGGTAGGGGCTGGCAACCAAGATCTTATGGTGCAGGACGGCGGCCTGGCAAGTGCTCGCCACCCTGGCTCCTCTCGCCCCACAGGAGGGCCGCCTCATGCTCATCACGCGGTACGGGGCTTCCAAGATCGATGACATGCTGCCGGCACACATTGAGGCCGTGAAGGCCAGCGGCGTTCCCGTGGTCTGGCAGTGCGACGGCGTCCACGGCTGCGATGGGAGGGGCCAGCACCAACGTCAATCAGACCGTCCAGCCTAGAGGGGGGTGGCCGCTTGATGGAGCAGCCAGCACGTACGCCAGCAGCGCCCATGCCCTGGGGTGTTCCCCCGCGCGTTCCTTATCTTCTTGCTGCCTTCGAGAAGGCCCCCTCCAGGGGCCCAGCACCTCGTTGGTCGGCCAGGAGGTGGGGGAGGCGGAGAAGGAGGAGGAGGAGGAGGAGGAGGAGGCGGAGGAGGAGTTGGAGGAGGAGGAGGAGGAGGAGGAGGAGAGGAGGAGGAGAGGAGGAGAGGAGGAGGAGGAGGAGGAGGGAGGAGGAGGAGGGAGGAGGAGGAGGAGGAGGAGGAGGAGGGGCGGGGGGTAGGCGGGGACCGCCGTCGCCCGCGCGCGGAAGGCAGGGATTGGGTGGTAGACAAGCTGCGCAGCCCAGGCGGTCAGGCGGCCGCCACGCATTCCTCGCGGGGAAGCGTAAGTCAGGAGGGGAAAAAACACACAGACACAATTAATCGGCGATTCCAAGAAAATATGCGAAAATATGGGAAGTGGGGGGGAAGACAAAAAACACGAAAATATGGGAAAATATGGGGGATATGTTTATTTGTGTGTATTTATTTGTGTGTCCCAGTTCCCCTTCAGTAAGACTCGAGTAAGCCGGAACTCGGGTTTGCCGACGTTTCCCGACGAGCGCGTCCCGGATTTGGCCGGTCCAGGTTTCCTGGGATGTCTGCAGCGGGAGCTCGCGTCGAGTTTCGGATGGGGTCTCGTCGTGTTTGCGGTGGCCCCGTCAGGCCAACAACCCGCATCCCCCGTAATTACCCGAGTCTTGCGTCTCCCCGATCTTGGAAGGGCGACCCGGGCGCGCGAGGCGGTCGGGGGCGAGCGCGGAGCGTGTCCGAGCCGGTGCGACGGGCACCGCCCGGCCTTGGTGGCGGGCAGCGGCGGTGGCAAGGCTCGGGGTGGGCAGCCCGCGCGCACATCGCTGGCAGGCGTTGGCTGCCGCGCGCCGCCTCCCGCATCGCCTGTCCACCCCCGTCCACTCAGGGGCGGGCCGGCCGAGGTGGCACCGAGACCGAGGGCGGAGGTTTGCAGGAGTGCCCGTGGCCCAGAGTGTCCCCAGGACTGCCGGAGAGGCCCCGACGGCCGCCAGAGCACCCCCCTCGCGAGGCCCAGAGGGCCCCCAGGGGCTCCAGTCCAAAAGGGAGCGGGCCATGCTGGGCCAGGGACATGTGGGGCCAGGGACACCATTTGGCAGCCCCCGACGGGGGAGGAGGAGCAACATGAGATGTTCTTGGAATCGTGAGGCCTGATTCGGAGTCTCTGTGATCTTTTGGAGGGGTCCAGGCTCCATCGGAGGTCGTCTTTGGGAATGTCCAGGTGCCCTGTTTTTTCTGTCGTTACATCTATGGCCACCGACGCTGGCATGGCATACGCTTTACAGGGATCTACTCGCAACAAGGCAAGGCAAGGGGGGCCGCACGGAGTGGCCAGCGTAGCAGGGAATTGAGGAACGCGGCGAGGGATGGAGGCAATGGGATCGTCGCGAGCAACAAGTACAAGACCCGTGTCGTGGAGGACGTGATCAGCGAGGTCGTCAAGTGCATCGCCATCCACAAAAGGTGCGGCAGCGTTTTAGGGGGAATACACTTGGAGGTGACAGGGCAGGAGACCGTCACCGAGTGCTTGGGCGGCTGCATCGGAATGACCGAGGAGCCGCCGGGAGATCAGCGGACGGACCACCCTCACTGACAAGAGGACGGGTACTGATCGCCTCACCCCATTTCGTCCTATAATCCTCCTCCCCGTCCTCCTCGTCCTCTCCCCTGTTCCTCTCATTTCCTCCCCTCTCCCCCGCCCCATCCTGAAACGGCCCATCTCGGGCAGAGAAGGCGGCGCAAGTCTGGTGGGGAGATCCGCGTCGGGGGTTGGGAAACTCACCAAAGCGAAGCCCCCCCCCCCCTTCACGGCGGCGGGCCCCGCCCGCGCTCTGCAGTCGGGAGAGGGTGCGCTCCCTCGCCGCCTCGCACTCAGGAGGTCCACCAGGAGCGGCACCGAGCTGGCGGCCGCTCTCAGGGGGGAGGGGGTCTCTGCAACGTCTTCTGAAGAATTCTGAGGGCACGCCGCCCCAGTTACGGCTAGTGGCTCACAGTATGGTGGCGAAGGGCCCCCAGGTTTTCCAATGTAAGTTGTGCATTGCGGTTGCCCGTATTCAGGCCAGTCTTGGGAAGCTCTTAGAGACCCCTTGTGAGCCAACAGCCCAAGTGAGGCTCAAGGCTCGGGCCGAGTTGGTGCTCCAGCAGGCCCCTCCTTTGAGGTCTCATGCTGCGCAGACTGCTGTGCAATTTGCTGGTTCTGTTCAGGCCGATGAAGACGTGCAGGCTGGCGCTCAAGCGAGTCAGGGGCCCGAGGAGCGAGGAGTCTGTTGCCGTCTCTGGAGAAATCGTCTAGCTCGAAGGGAACCAGGTTCTGGTGAGCCCTCTGGCAATGGCCTGCATGGCTCCTACCAGCTCTCCAGTGGCAAAGCTGCTCGCTGCAAGTTGCAGGAGAATTGTCGTGGACGTTCGGAGCACGGGCCAACCCGATGTAAGCCGGCATAAGGTATAGTTGCCATTCGGGCTGGTCACCACCCCAAGTCAGGCAGCTCGTCAAGTCCTGGCTAAGCTATGTTTGTTGGGCCAGTACACCCGTCCTCGGTTGCACGAGTTGGCCCAGCGCTGCTCCTCCTCCTCCTCCTCTTCCTCCTCCTCCTCCTCTACCTCTACCTCTACCTCTACCTCTACCTCCTCCTCCTCCTCTACCTCCTCCTCCTCCTCCTCCTCCTCCTCCAGCCCTCCTCCTCCTCCTCCTCCTTCTCCTCCTCCTCCTCTGCCCTACCTCTACCTCTACCTCCTCATCCTCTTCCTCCTCCCCCTCTTCCTCCTCCTCCTCCTCCTCCTTCCCCTGTTGTTGTTTTGGAGATGTCTGAGCTGACTGCGGCGTTGTCATAAGGTTTCCAGAACAAAAGGCGCACGGCTTCCGATAAGACCATTGTTTTAACCACGTCGCCTGCGAAAAATAAGCGCGTTGCTGGGATTTGCAGGGTCCGAGAGATGCCCGCTACCTACAGTCCCAACGGCGTGGATTTAGAAGTTGGCAGTGCGATTGATCGGTTCAGATATCGCAAGAAAGCTAGACAACGAATGGCCAAATCCAGCGGTATATTTGCTCGCCTCATGAAGATGTGACGCGCGGCTGGATTGGGGAAAGTTTATTAGGGAGCTTGGCGCACGGGAGCCTTGCCACAAGCCAGCTATGGCCACCAATGCTTGGATATGCCACCGAGTCAGGTCTTGGCGTTGTGGCGACAAGCTGTCCCAACGGGCTCTGGTTCGGGTAGAAGCAAGTGCTAAACCACAGTTCTCCAGACGCTGTTCGTAGGCGGCGACCCTGGTATTGGGGTCCGCCGCCAGCTCGTCGATCATTGGCTCCATATTGGGAAGCGCCCTCCAACCCTGCACCTTAGGATCCGTCGCTCATGGAATGTTGTCAAGGCTCAGCTGGCCTCTTTGGGTAAGAGACCTTGGAGAGGCGCCAGAGGTCCCACGGCTGCGATACGGCCGCCCTTTGTGGAAGCTGGATGGGGCCCCAAGGCTTCAAGGAGCCTGATCTCCGGAAGCGCTTTGCTGATGTTGATCATGCGTAGAGGTTTCCGAGGCGAGGGGGTCGCAAGTATGATTTACTTGCGATTTCAGACAATTGTGACCCCGTGTTAAAATTCGCGTATGGTGTTCGTGTGCGCCAGTAGCACGGAACTGGAGAGCACGAGTTTTGAGGCAATTTACAAAAGGAGCCGATACCCTTCCGTTCCAGCAGGAGCTCCAGCGCTTTGAGGTAAGAGGGGAGGCGGACCTCTGGGGTTTGGACCTGCGCATGGCTTCAGGAGGCCAGTGGCCACGTCAGCGCCAGGCAGACACAGGCTACACCATCGATGTGATGTGCCCCAGGTGCAAAGCCGCTCCTGAAACCGCATTCCAAAGAGTCTGGCAGTGCGAGCGCAGCAGGGACCATCCCGACCTTGACAGCGCGCAGGCGCTGGCAGCGCAGGCCGCGGCCCAATGGGAGTCCGACCCGCCCCTGTGGCCGGGAGGAGCGTCGCCGAGAGGCCTCGCCAGCCGCCGCTTCGAGGACCCACCCCTTGCCCCTCCTGACACGCGCCACGGCACCCCTCGGCCGTCAGATTCCCGCGCCCTCCTAGGCCCAGGCCCGCCACACTTGTTCGGGGACGGGTCTGGGGGAAACAGAGCAGCGACCCTAGGCGGCGCAGGCGCGGCTCTGCAGCGGCCGCCATCGGACAAGCTTCTGATGGATGGCTCTCGGGGGCCCGTCCGCGGAGTTGCGGCCCCGCCCCTGGGGTTGCGGCAGTCCGCGCCGCGCGCGGAGAGAGCCGCGCTCGCCGCGGTCCTGGAAGATACCGCGGGGCCCGTCACACATGCGATGGACCGCCCATCACTCCTGGGCGGATGGAGAGCTGGTCGCGCGCACGGCAAGCTAGGCCCCGATCAAGATCTGCGGCGCAGGGTCGCCGTGGCCCGCCGGGGCAAGGGGGGGGCTGGAGCGCGGATCGCGCGGGCGGCCGCCCATCCGAAGGGCGCGGGCGGAGTTCTCTCGGAGCGGCAAACCTTTCTCGCGCCACGCAAGATGCGCGCAGACGAGCGGGCGGGAGCTGTCGTGGAATGCCGATGGAGCGAGTTTGCGCGGCATCCAGTGCCCAAGATCGATGAGAACGATTGCCTTGCACACCTTTTCAGACGCCGCGCGCGTCGCGCCCCCCTCTTGCCCCTGCAGTTCGGCCCGCGACAGGCCGCTGGATCGGCCAGACAGCGCATTCCCCGCACCATTAAGCAGCATAAGGCCCTGACGAAGGCGGCCCACAATCGCGCGCTGGTCGGCGCCAGGTGGCGCTGTCGATTGCGACGCCAGATGGCGCCCTCGTCTCAGCTCGCGAAGTTTCGCGCCCAGCAGTGCCCAGGGTTCGCCCCGGCCGACGCCTCGATTGCCTCGGAGCGGCCTCCGTTCGCGCGGCGCACTGGGGGCGTTGTCACTGGCTCTGCGCAGGCTCACAGCGCGCGCGCCGTTTTCTTCCCGCTTGAATTGCCCCTTCATTTGTTTCCTGCGCGCGGGCCCACTGCCACTCTTGATGGCAGATGGCTCGCCGAGCAATGTCCGGCCCCCACCCCCAGTGGGGCCTGGGACCTCGCGCGCCCTGGACGAGGCCTTTCCCCCTCCCGCAGGGGGCCCCCGCAGGCCGCCCAGCAGGCCCGCGCTGCCCAGGCGGCCGCGGCCGCGGCCCAGAGTGGGAGGGGAGCGGTCGGGGGGGGGGGGGGGGGGGCGTCGTCGGTCGGGGAAGGGCGCGGCGGGCGCGCGCCGCGCGGCGCGCAGCTCGCGCCCTCGCGCGCGCCCCCGCCCGCGGCGCCGGCGGCGCCGACGTCTCCGACAAGCGCGAGAGGCAGGCGCGCCGGCCCGCCCTCCGACGATTCAGATGGAGCCGTCTTAATTCGTCTGGCTTTCGATCGGACTGCTGCCCCTCCGCCGCCCCCCCTTCCGCCCCCCCCCCCCCCTCCTTTGCGCGGCCGTGGAACATCGGGAGTTCCGCGAGCGAAAACAAGAGCATCTTCGATGGGGTTCCCCTGGGGCCAACGTTTCCCGAGGACGAGAAGGCGCCCGCGCGTCGCGCTTTGAAGTTCGCACGGTTCGCCGTCAATCGCGCCGGAGAACGCCGCCCCTGAGCGGCGCCGCCCCCCCAGAGTTCAGGCGGCCCCCCCCCGCCCCCGACTGGGCCCGGTCTCGTCGAGGCGAGGGGGTAGGAATGTCGGCCGAAGTGCCAGATAGGAGCTCTGGTCAGGAGCTATTGTTGGGAGGCCCCACGCTTGCGCGCCGCTGTCGGCGCGCGCTTCCGAGGCGGCATCTGCGTCGACGCGCGCCAATTCGCAGCAAGGCGGCTAGTCCCCCCAGATTAATGCGCTCGATCACGTCGGCAAGCCGCGGGCTGCAAGCTTGTTCCAGTCATCGACAGCCCACGAGGGCAATTGCCGCTTCTCTCCCCCGCGCCATTGATCGGGGGCCCCGGGCGCAGCGGGCGGGGAGCGCCGCGACAGCGCTACAGGGGAGCGATGGAGATGTCGTCTTGAAGTCCGGCTGCGGCGGCCTGGCGGGCGCTCGGTTTGTCGCGAACGCGCTCGAGCGAACGCGTTCACCGCCGGCGGCTCGCTGGGGCGACGCGCATCATCAGCTTGGACCGCGCTCGACGTTAATGCGTGCTCGCCGCGCACTTCCCAGCCAGCTGGCGGATCTATCACCGACAGTATGCTGGCGCTCTGACGGAGAAGGTTGGAGGTCAAAACGCCATGATCTCAGTAAACAAGTCGGCGAGATCCATCCAAGGGCTGCACGCTGCGTTGGAGTCTCGCGGGTTTCGGCTGAGTCGAGCCAAACAAGACACGCCCCTGTCTTCACAGGGCCCTGGGTCTGCACAGTATCTTCGGGAGGTCCGCGACGGGCGCAGTGCGCATCCTGGGCAGGCGTGTCTGGAGATCGAGAGCACGGAGTTCATCACGTCGCTGGGCGCGACCAAGTTCGAGCCCCAGCGTACATCCTGGGAGCAGCTCTATATCGAGCGTGGCAGTTTGTCTCTGATGTTTTTGGAGCGCACCTGGAGTTCCTCGTCGGCAGCGCCGCTGGGCCTCATTTCCATTATCTATATATATATATACACAAACTACTGCTTGCTATCTTGCCCTATATGAGTCCGAGCTGGCCGAGCTGTCAATCGCGTCGGCAGGGCATATCATCAGGGCGATGCGCCGGCGGGCGCGCGATTGCGGGGCACCCAGGCATCCCGCGCCCATGACCGCTGCAGCTGTTCTGCAGCAGTGGTGCCCTTGACGCTCTGCGCGCAGCGTGCCGCCCGTCGCTCGCGTTCCCGGCAAGCCTTGGCTCGTGCGCCGCTGGCGAATCGACGAGCTCACATTGCCCTTCTCGACCATTTGGAATGCGCCCCGCCTGTGCTCCATGACGGGCGCATCACGTCGCTGGGCCCCCCCCCATGGGTTCAGCAATAACATGAAGATGTCCAGGCCTTATCGGATTTCGATGCTGGGGCGCCCATGCATGACGATTTTTTTGGGGGAGATGTTCCCCGGCGATCTCGAACACAGAATACCGCGAAATTCCCAATCGTATCCACCCTCGCCAATTCTGTCATCGCATATCAGGCGCTGGAACTCCCGTGGCTGGGTTTCTGGAGGCAGAAGGTTTCAGGAGTTGCACCTGATGAGGAGGCGGGAGGGGCGTTTCGCTGCGAGCTGCAGACTCTTGGAGGAGAGGTATGTGGGCGGATATTTTGTGATAGGCGAGCGGCGCACACACGCATCAAATCACATCATGGTTATCAAGAGATTACACACATGTATCATCAATATCCAAACAGCATTGTGCACGTGGGCTCGTTCTTGCGCGCCGTGGGAGTTGTCGTCGACTTGCATCGCAGAGTCTTCGGCGCGGAACTCGTGCGCTAGACGCGACCAAACGTCTCGCCGAGGCACGTGCGCCGCCACCCCCGGCATGCCCATTGCGCCATCATGGAGCAGAATTGCCCAGGCATTTGCAGCGACACCCTTGCGCGCATCCTGGGACCTCACCGAAAGCACCGTCTAGCCGTGGGCACCGAGCCAGCTTGGATGCTCGAGGGGGAGGAGCTGGGGGCAAAGCAGCGCAGAGTGAACGATGGAGGAGACCTTGCGGAGCAAGCTTCGCAACCCGCTGGTGGAGCAGGCGAGAACGCCGTTCTCAAGCAATGAATCGTCATTTTGACCAGGCTCGCTCGCGCTGACCAGCGCAGCGGAGCTGCGCGAGGTCTGCGGGGTCGCGTTCCACACGCGGCTCGTTCGCGGCACGAACCCCGCGGTCAAGGAAGCCAAGGCAGCAGTTATCTCTCCAAAGTTCAAGGGGTGTCCGAGTCGGGCCGGAAGGAGGATCTAGGCACACCTTTCCTTCATGCCCGGAGCGCGCTCGTCCACGGGATGGGCGCGGACCCCGCTTGCCCGCCAGATGTGAAGGCCGCGGTCGAGCAGCATTGGACTCAGGTGATAATGTAAAAGCCCGTGGTCGAGCTAGCAAGCGAAGTTCGAGCATGCCGAGTTCGCCCCACAAAGAAGGCCGAATAAAAGCCCCAGCTGTTTCGCATCACTCTCGCGATCAACAGTCAGCGCCGCGAGCTCGAAGTCGTGATCGAAAAAACATAAGGAAAAGTTTGGGGGGTGCGCAAACATTAGGCAGCTCCAAAAGGCTTGCTGGAGAGGGGCGCAGCTCAACTGCTCGACCGCTTCCAGAAGTAGGACGCTCAGGGCAGGACGGGGGAGTTGCAGAGGCGGACGGATCAGGAGCGAGGGCCGACGAGGGGAAGGCTTCCGCCTCTGCGCTGCCAGCGTTTGTAGACAGCAAACGTTTTCTGGAGGTGCAGGCGCGGGGTATCATACGGTATACTGAGCCTACGGCGAGGAGCGAAGGGCCTCGAGGTGTTTCGCTTTCGACCTGCCCTAGGGATGAGTTCTGGGAGATTCCTCCGGATGTGGGTAGAGCCTTCGTAGCACAGCCCCGAGCAAAACCTCAAGGTCGGGCCAAGACCAGTAGCAAAGGTCGTTCATGAGTGGCCGTTCCCTTCCCTGTTTTGTTATCGTTTCTTTCGGGGTCTACTGCTCGCCGGGCCCGAAGATTGTTTCACGAGTCCGATTTGAGTTTTGGATGTCCTCCATTCGGGATGAAGGGCAGTGCCAGGGATCCCCTCTGAGCGGTCAGCACCAACGCTTGCTATTTTGCGCACGTTGTCTGCATGTGTTCTCTATGGCGCTCTTTGCGTAAATTTGCACGTTATGGATCTGAGAATTTCTTGCCCTGTCTTGCCTCCTCCATATCCTCCTCCTCCTCGTCCTCCTCTTCCTCCTCCTCCTCGTTTTCCTCCTCCTCCTCCTCATCATCATCCCCGTCCTCCTCCATCTTCTCCTCCTCCTCTTCCTCCTCCACCATCTCCTCCTCCTCATCCACCCCTTCCTCCTCCTCCTCCTCCTCTTCCTCCTCCTCCTCATTTTCCTCCCTGTGTGAGCTCGAATCCTAAGGCAGGCTCAGTCGATGAATAACCGATGGCAGTCCTGGCCCTCTCTGTCTGCAGAGCGGCTGCTTTTGAAAATTGGTTCTCCCGGCCAAAGGGGGGGGGGGGGGGGGCGCTACCCCAGGAGGCGTGGGAGACCGACCAGGAGCGGGGACGACACGAGGGGGAGCGAAAGGAGGACAAGAAAAGCAGAGGAGCGGAGGAGGGACAGGAAGGAGCAGCGAGCACGACGGAGAGAGGCGGGAGGAGGGGGAAAGGACCCCCCCAAAGCCCACCCAGGCCAACGCAGCACCTTGGGAGGAGAGCGAAAAGATGGGGTAGAGAGGAAGGGAGGACGCCAGAGGGGGGGGGATGAGTTCTTCCTCCTCCTCCTCGTCCTCCCCGCCCCCCCCCCCTCTCCTTCGCAACAATACGAATAGTATGCTCCTCTCTCCCTTGATGCTGCGCTGGTTTGGCGCCGCATCTCCCGCATGTGTTTCCACGCATCCTCTTGCGTTGGTTTCTCGTTTCGCACCGAGCACTGCCACTCCTCTCTCTCTCTCTCTTTTTCCCTATCTCTCTCTCTCTCTCTCTCTCTCTCTCCCTCTCTCTTTCTCTCTCTCTCTCTCTCTCTCTCTCTCTCTCTTTCTTGTTCTCTCTCTGTCTCTCTCTCTCTCTCTCTCTCTTTCTCTCCCTCCCTCTCTGTATTTGTACATATAGTAGGTGCCTCTATGCCTCTCTCTCTCTCTCTCTCTCTCTCCCTCGTTTGCTCATGCTTACTGATCGCATCCCCATCTTGTCCCCTGTTTGCTCGCCCTCCCCTGAGCCGTCCAATCGCAGCAGCCAGCCATAATTACTCAGCTCCGCCTTCGCGTCGCGCCGCCCATGTTTCCGTCGAGATCCCCGCCCTCTCCGTCGCCACATGTGTGGATGAGTGGACGAGCACATGAGGGGAAAGGGAGAGGAGGGGAAGGAGAGAGAGAGAGAGAGAGAGAAAGGATTAGGTATCTCTCCCACCAATCCCACCCCACATTTGTGTTGGATCCTCTCCTATCCGCCAACGCTGGTGTCCTAGAGGACCTCGATCCTCAAATGGCAGCTGCAGGGTTTGACTCATCATGTGCTTTACGATCGGGAAGGGGTGCGCTTGCACACTGGAGGAGGACGGAGATGATACGGCGGAGAACGAAGCAGGTTGGCAACGGCGAGGAAGGAACGGGACCCAGAAGTGTGGCGAGGGCCAGTCTGAACGACGGGAGCAAATCGCCGAATCTTGTGTGCGATTACTGAGGGACGTACCTAACCCATGTGCAGCGTGGGGTAAACAGATCATGCACCTTCGCAATAGCCACGTCACGTGGCGCGATACGAACGGGCGTTCTGCATGGCGTACGGCACGCGATTCCATACCAGCAGCGCACGGGGTGCGTTCAACGCGGTGTAATGCAGATGGTGCGCTACACCGAGCGCAAACAATGAGACAGAGGAGACAGGAGGGGTCCTTCAGTCAAGCTCTCCATGAACACATGAAGCTTGAAAGCGAAGGCGGCTGGCTCAATTCGCATTCACAGAACCATATGCGATGTTGAATCTTAGGACGTTATGGTGTACACGCTGCCCACGCAATCGGCCCTGCCTCCGAAACAATGCGGCCGTGGCGTCTCCTCCATGGGGGACAGGGGAAGATGGGAAGAGGGCGGAGGGAGAATGGGGGGTGGGAGAGAAACGCGGAAGTTGGGAGAACAGCCAGAGGAAGAGGAGGAGGAGGACGACGACGACAACGAACGGGGAGGATGATGAGAACACAAGGGAGCAAGGGCGAACAAAGTCCGATACGATGATGAGGGCAGGATGAGGAGGACAGGGTGCGATGCGATGATGGCGAGATTCCATCTGAGTCCGCGTAGCACCGCACTCCACTGGACCTCCCAAGAGCCCATGAAAATAACGAAAGTTGCGCAGTTGGCAGCCCCCAGGAAGAACAAGGTCTCATTTTGGTCCGCGTCGCACCGCGCTCCGCTGAACCTCTCAGGAGCTCGCGAGCATGGCGGCAAGTGCGCTTTTGGCAGCCCCCATGGAGGCAATGTAGAAGGCAGGTAGGTAAAAGGATTAAAAGGTAAGTACGAGTGCGAGGAGGAGAAGGGGAGGATGCAGGAGATAGGAAGCAGGAGGCGGGAGAAGGGCGAGAGAGACAATAAATAGAGAAAGGGAGAAGTGGATATACACATACATAAGTGATGATAAGAAAGGCAACGAAGAGGAGGCGGAGGATGAACAGGAGCAATACGATGATCTGGAGGAGAGCGAAAGGAGGAGGAGGAGGAGGGCAGGAGGAGAAGGAGGAGGAAGAGGAGGAAGGGGGTAGGATCAGGGACAGCTCGTGGCGGTCGGGGACGCGCGTCCCGCCGCCGAGGCCCCTGCGCGCGCCACGCCAGCTCGAGCCAGGCAGGCTCCCGGGCCAGGGCCCACCTGCCGGCGTCTCCCGACCGCCGGCGTCCAGGAGAGAAGCGCCACGGCCGTTTCCCCTCGAGCTCGGACCGCCGGAGGCCTCCTCGAGCCAGGCGCCCACGGGAGGCGGCCCGGAGCATCCGGTCGAGGGGCCCATAGGGGCCCCCACGCCCTGCGGATCGCTCCCCCCATGCGCCAGCCCCGCCGGCCGCGCCTCTGGCACCGGGCGGCCTGCCTGTGCCCGCTCGGTGGGCTCGCGGCCCTCCCCGGCTCGGTCGAGGAGCCCGCAGGTCGGCTGGCCGAGGGCCCGGTGCGCCAGCCGCACGCCGGCCTGGCCAAGGCGGAGCTCCGGAAGAGCGGCCCGGGCCCTGCTGCTGCGCCGGCCCCGCCCCCGCCGACCCCGCCCCCGCCGGAGGCCGCGGTGCTGGCCGATTGGGAGCAGCTGCGGGTCCTGGAGGGGCTGCTGCAGCACCCCGACGCACTGGTGCGGGACTCCGTGGGGCTAGCCGTCCAGGCGGCGATTGAGGAACGCGAGGCGCGGCAGTCGAGGCGCGGGGAGCCGCCGTGGTACGCGAAATGGTATACTGGGTATGCCTACCTGTTTTTTGGCGTGGAGGTCGCAGTCATGTCGCTGATCGTCATCGCTTTTGAGGGCGCCTGGCTTCAGAGTTCCCTCGCGCCCAGTCAGGGCTGCTGGGAGCGGTGCCGGAAGTCTTGGCGCGCGCTGGTCTCGCGATTGCAGGACCGGCACTCTTGGAGCCGGTTGGGTAGCGCGTCCGACGCCACGGAGAGCGGCGAGGAGCGGCTGTGCGGTTCTTCCAAGGGCGCGGTGTCTTTTTGGGAGACCATTTCGGCAGGCGTCGAGCTCCAGGAGCCAGCGGCGCACCTCGGCGCCGGGCCAGTCCATGAGCAGACGGGCTCCGGAACGAAGCAGGACCGCATCGAGGTCTGGAGTCTGCTGCAGGTGAACACGTTCTGGAAGTTCATCCTCGATACTCGTCAGACCAACTCTGGCGAGGCGGCGGGGGAGGAGAATGAGGAAGACGACGACGGCGAGGAGCCTGACAAGGAATGGGTGTTCTTCCCGAAGAGGCAATTCATGGGCAGGGCGGGTCACCGCGCGTATGTCGAGCTGCGCCGCAAGGGGGACTTGTCGAAGGCACTGACCGTTGTGGCGAGGACCGTGGAGACACCGGAGTCCCAGTTCGCAGCCAGGGCGGACAGGGACTTCATCCACATAACGGCGGAGCTCACCTTCCAGCCCGGGCAGGCGATCCAGGTGTTCGAGGTGCGCCTTCCCCGCGCCGAGAAGATGTGGGTTCCGACCAGGTGGTTTCGTGTCGAGCTTGTCCACATCGGATGTAGGGCGCCCAGCTTCTTGGGCAGCGTTGCCTCCGAGAAGGAAGCTTGCCGCGGGCCAGAGGCGATCGTCTACATCTTGCAGAGCGTTGACTTCCCGCCAGGCGCAACGAAAGACATGTGGAGCGAGGAGAGCACAGGCTTTTACCTGATGCTTTATTACCTGAAGATGCAGTGCCACGCTCGGGGGGCCAAGTGGTTCAAGACCCTCGTAGGCCTGCTCTACGACCCTTTCCACCAGGTCGGGGTGACCTCAGTGATCAAAGCACTCTTGCTAGACTGGGCGGCAAACGCCGAGTACGGGCCATGCCATTACTATGAGATTATACTGCTCGGGATTTGCTGGTTCTTCTCTACAGCCTTACAGCGGTGGGGTGACCAGTGCCAGACCAAGATGCGTGGACGCACTGGCGGAATCAGGCAAGGGCACCGAGGGGAACTGTTCGGTAAGATGATGATGCTTGAGCTCACAGAGCAGAGGAGTGTCAATACCGAGGAGTGGTTCTACACTGCCCTCCAGAGCGTTGACTCCGTTACGGCAGATGGGTATTGGCAGGGGTTCATGTTTTTGCAGAGTTTGTTTGCTCTTGTTATCCAGTTGCCTGCGGCACCCCCCGCCACCGCACCAACGCAGCACCCAGCGTCATGCAGCATGGCTCTGCCGAGCTCTCTCGAGCAAGCTCGGCAGAGCCTCATTGGAGCCGTATGGGCAGCATCGCTACAGCGTTGCAGCGTGGCGTCGCCGTGAAGTTGCACAGTTGCGTTGCCTTGCGGGGCTTGGTTGGAGATCTCTTTGCGGTATATTCGGGGCATCTTGGGTCCCTCATTGAGCATGGTCTGAGACTCACAAGTGATGGTGAAGAGGCTCGTGGAGGCTTGCTGGGGTCCTGGAATCGTTTTGGGCACGATGGTCCTAGTGAGCTCTCCTGAAGAGGCGGCTCGATAGAAGCATCTCGGGTCATCGAACGGCCTACGGCCCATCCGACCACCGTGCCTGGGTTGTGGGCATGAAGCTTTTTCGATGTTCATTGGAATCTCGTGGGAGGCCTCTCGGGAGCCTCTTGGAGGGAGTTTGGAGGCCTCTTGGGTGCTGTTTGGGGACCTCTTAGGGCTTCTTTGGGGTCTCTTGGGGGCCTATTGGGGGCCTATTGGGGCATCCTGGGCGCCTCTTGGGGCCTCCTTGGGGCCTCTCGGGGTGGAAGGCTCGGAGTTTCGGTTCGTGCTCCCTCTTTTGGGCCCCTCTTTTGACCATCTTGGGGGCCTCTTGGGCGCCTCTTGGGCCCTCTTGGGGCCCTCTTGGGTCGTCTTGGGCCCTCTTGGGGCCTCTGGGGCCGTCTTGGGATGGTCTTGGGGTCTTCTTGGGCCGTCATAGAGCGTCGAGAAGTCGAAAAGGCGAGAATGTCATAAACTTCCAAACACCGAAGAGAAATCAATGATTTGGGCCTCTTGGGGCCTTCTTGGGAGGCCTCTTCGATCCCTACAGGGGCGTCTTGGGGGCCTCTGGGGCCGTCTTGTCACCATCTTGCGCGTCCTGGGGTAATCTTTCGGCGACTCGGGGCCCTCTTGGACCGTCTCGAGGGCCCTCTTGAGGCTCCCTTGGCCCGTCGTGGGGCCCTCCAGGGCCCCGAAGCAGTCAGGCGACAACGTGCGGGGGGAGCCCAGGGGGCACGCGGCAAGCCCCGAGAGGTTTCGGGCAGTTGGGTCCGGGCCCTTCACTTGGCTCCTCAGAACTGGGGATGGAGGCTCACGGGATGAGGCCAGGGACCTGAGGACACGCCCACTCCGTGCCCAGCGGCACGGTGGCAGCTATCATCGGGCATCGGGTCTGTATCCATAAAAACAGGATCCAGAGTCGGGGTCGTTCTGTTGTTATCAGGGTCCTCTTGGGCTGCCGTAGGGGCATGTTGAGGCCTTCTGTGCTTGCATTTTGGTTTTATGAAGGTTTCGTGAGTTCAAGTTCCGCCGAGAAGTTCGGGAGTCATAAAGCATGTACAAAACAACATAGTGGTCAATGTTTCCCGATTGTGAACTATGGGTATTCGCTATATGTTTAGCTCAGTATAGGCAGACGTTCCAGCCATGTCGGGATGGTCATTGGCCGTCTTGTGGGGCCGTCAAGGACGCCTGGCAGTAAGACGCATAGGGGAGTGAAGTTTGAAGCTGTCATGCAACGAGGGGTGTCGCCCCTAGGAAATGACAGAGCATTGCAAGATAGGGTAGCCAGCAGGGATTTCAGCAAGCCGCAACGTACCGTGGATATGGCGGCGGATTTCGGTCACGCTGCTGATCGTTCCGGCTGCTCTCCACGGCCAGTATTCATCAGATCATACCGTCACATTAATTATGTTATCGAAGATGCTTACGGCGAATCACCGCCGCCCCCGGCCTTTTTGGAAGCGCCTGCGTGGCCGAAAGTTGGGTTTGAGCTTGGCCAAGCTATCGGGCCACGCGTTCCCTGAGTGGGTTTCGAAAGCCTTCGGGGAACACCGAGTCGGGCGAGCTATCGGACCAGGTGGTTTCCGAGCTTTTGGGCCTCCTGGAGGACGTCTTGGAGGGCTCTTGGGCCGTCTTGGGGGCCTTTGGCGGGCCTTTTGGACACTCGAAGGCCATCTTCAGGCCATCTGGGGTCGTCTTGGGTGCATCTGGGGGCCATCTTCGCTGTCTTGGAGGCCTTCTTGGCCGTCTTGGAGGCATCTTGGAGGCCATTTTGGTCGTCTTGAAGGCCATCTGGGGCTTCTTGGGGGCCTCTTGGGCCGTCTTGGGGCCTTCTTGGGGCCGTCTTGGGGGCTTCTTGGACTGTCATGGGGCCATCTTGGAGGCCTCTTGGGCGCTCTTGGGTCGATGTTGGGGGCCGCTGGGGCTGCCTTGGGCCGTCGGAGAGCTGAAAAGAAGAAAATGCGAAAATCAGTTTTAAAAATAAGAAGGAACATAAATGATGGTGGCCCTTTCGGGCCTTCTTGGAGGACGTATTGGAGGGCACTTGGGCCGTCTTGGAGGCCTCTTGCGGGCCTATAGGACCGACTTGGGCAATTTCGATGCCATCGGGGGCCGTATTTTGTACATATTGGGGCCATCTTCGCTGTCTTGGAGGCCATCTTGGCCGTCTTGGGGGCATCTTGGAGGCCACATTGGCCGTCTTGGAGGCTATCTTGGGCATCTTGGGGGCCTCTTGGGGGCCTCGTGGGCTGTCATGGGGCCATGTTGGAGGCCTCTTGGGCGCTCTTGGCCGCTTGGGCCGTCTTGGGCCGTCGGAGAGTTGAAAAGGAGCTAAATCCAAAAGCATTCAAAAACCTAAGGAGAATCAATCATCTTAACCCTGCCGGGCCTTCCTGGAGGACGTCTTGGAGGGCTCTTGGGCCGTCTTGGAGGCCTCGTGCGGGCCGTTTGGGCAGTCTTGGGCCATCTTGGGCAGTCTCGGGTGTATTTTGGGGCCATCTTGGCAGTCTTGGAGGCCATCTTGGCCGTCTTGGAGGCATTTGGGAGGCCATCTTGGCAGTCTTGGAGGCCATCTGGGGCTTCTTGGGGGCCTCTTGGGCCGTCTTGGGGCCTTCTTGGGGCCGTCTCGGGGGCCTCTTGGGCCGTCCTGGGGTTGTCTTGGATGTTTCTTGGGCACTCTTGGGGCGATCTTGATGGGCAGTCTTGGGCCGTCGGAAGGCCGAAAAGGAGCAAAAGCCCAAATCCTTCAAAAACCTAAGGGACATCAATGGTTTTGACCTCTTCGGGCCGTCCTTGAGGACCCTGGAGGACGTCTTAGAGGTCTCAAGGGCCGTCTTGAAAGCCTCTTGGAGGCCTCTGGGGACGTTTTGGGCAGTCTTAGAGCTTTCTTGTGCGAACTTGGAGGCATCTTGGACTCTCTTGGGCCGTCTTGAAGGCCATCGTGGATCATCGTGAGCGAACTTGGAGGCCATCTTGGGCCATCTTGGCCATCTTGGACGCCATGTTGGAGCCATCTGGAGCAGGAAAAACCTTTGCAACCGGATTTTGGGCAGTTTTTGGGTCCTTTCGAGAAGGCTCTAATTTTCGGCTCGTGTTCAATATCTTGCGGCCGTGTTGGGGCCCAATGTGTGCCGTTTTGGGGCACGCCTGGAAGTCTCGTGGGCCGTTCTGGGGCGGATTTGGGGGCCTCTTGCGCCGTCTTGGAGCGTCTGGAAGCCGAAAAGGCGAGAAAGCCAAAACGTTCAAAACCTATGGAAAATCAATGATTGTTGCCTCTTGAGGCCTTCTTGGGAGGCCTCTCGGAGGCCTTGCGCGGCGTCTTGGAGGCCTCTTGGGCCGTCTTGGGGCCATCTTGAGCATCTTGGAGCGATCGTTCGGCGACTCGGGTCCCTCTTGGACCGTCTTCGGGGCCTCTTGGGCTCGGCCCGTCTTGGAGCCCTCTTGGGCCGCAAAATCACGCGCCACCACTTCCCAAAGCCCAGGGACCTCGCGCCAAGCCCCAAGAGATTTCGGAAATTGAGGTCTGGGCCCTTTAAAGACTCCTCACGACTGAGGACTGAGGCTCCAGGGATTGGGCAAAAGACCTGAGGACACGCCCACTACGTGCCCAGAGGCACGGTGACGGATGTTTGTTGATACCATTCGCTCTTGCCGTCAGCGTCAACAGGCGCAGGAGGACGCAAGACTTGTTGAACAAGCGTTCTGACCACGAGTCCATGTGGGTGGATACGTGGGCGTGGCTTGCCTACGCCGGCTCTCAGCTGTTCAGCTTCGGCCCGCTGGAGAAGGCGCAGGTCGAGAAGAACTTTGCAGAGGAGAGCAAGAGCTTCGTGTCGGCGCACCAGAAGGCGCGGGACGAGCTCAACGACACGACGTGGATCATCCGATGGGCGACGTCGAGCGCTTACTGCACCATCATGATCCACGGTGGCTTCTCGATGCTGCGAGGGCAGATGACGCCTGGCCAGCTGGTCCTCATGCTGAACGTCGCCCTGTCGTACGCGAAGTACCTCGACAGCGTGTTCAACTGCGCCGTCCAGCTGCAAAAAGGCGGAGTGGCTCTGAAGAGGCTGTGCCAGCTGCTCAACCTCCCGGAGCACCGCTCGCTGCAGGAGGAGCTGGAGAAGCAGGAGCAGCCCGAAGAAGCGGTACCACTCGAGGGCCGGCGCAGAGACCGGAGCTTGACCGTGCTCTCCACCCTGCAGCAGCTGGAGTTGCGCGAGGTCCAGCTGGACGTGCCAGTGAACTATAGCCTGGGCCCCCTCAGCTCGCTGCGGCTGCGTAGCGGCGCGAGGAGCTTGGCTATTCCGCTGGGAAGGGTTGTCCGGGTCCGGGGCGGCTCCGAAGGCCTCCGGTACAGTTTCATGGCGCTGGCAGCAGGCGTGGTCCCGCCCACGAAGGGCGCTGTGGTCGGCCCAGGCGACGTCCGGGCCATCATGCTGGCAATGTTGCCGATGAGGTCCAGCCACCTCACCGTGCTGGATGCGCTGATGCTGGCTGGCGCCCGCAGGCACGTGGCGGAGAATTTGGCCCGTGCGCTCGGCCTGGAGGCGGGCAGGGACACCAGGAGCTTGGCGCCAGGAGAGCTGCAGGTGCTCGCGCTCGTGCGCGCGCTGCTGCGCGACCCAGACATTCTCGTGGCATCCCGGCCGCTATCCTACGTGCTGCGTGGGTTCCAGGCGCGCCTCGTGCACCTGTTGCGCGTCTGGCAGGCAGGGGGCGCCGAGGCGATCCTGGACATCGTGGACACCGTGCAGGCACACAGCCCTGCGATGCCGGCATCGCCAGAGGCCCCGCGCTGCAAGTGCCCGCTGTGCAGGCGCGGCAGGAGCCAGAGGACTTTGCTGATCACCGACGAGGACGTGGACATAGTCGACGACCCAGAGGACTACCTTATAGACCTAGAGCAGTACGTGGAGGAGGTGCCGTCCTCCCGGTCAGACGAGTCGCTTGGGTCCCAGATGCGGCCGATAGGGCTGAGGGGCAGAAGCAGGAGTTCGTTTTTGGGGTTCGCATCTGCTCTTGCAGACTCGTCGCCCCGCTTCGCGTCTGCTCTCGCAGAATCGTCGCCCCGCTCTTTTGCGCCTCACGCCATGGCGGCTTACCCTGGCTTGTGAGGGCCTCGCAGGAAGATTGCCTGGGCGTGTGCTCGACAGCGTGTAGCCCGCGGTGTCAGCGCGATCCACGCGCCTCCTCCTCCTCCGCCTCCTCTTCCACCTCCTCCTCCTCCTCCACGTCCTCCTCCTCCACTTCCTTGCCCTACTTCTGTTACACGTTTTGGGCCTGTGGAGGCTCGTTGCGAGCCCTGGGACCATGAAAACTAAATCTGGGTTTTAAAGTCGCGATCGGAGAATTAAGAATGATTCAGGATGCAACGTGTGAAATGTCCTCCCCCCCACTCGGGGTTCTTCTATGGTTTTTCGGGAGTTCTCCGACAACCCCAGGCTCGGGAGGGGAACCCCCCAAAAAGTCATCCTAGCGAAGGAGGCAACCATATGCAGTTGTGAGTACCGTGGTTGCGGGTATCGCCTTCGGGGGATCTCTTTACGTGGCCATGCGAAGGGTGTGCCGATGTGGGGCGGGCCCGCCATGTGGGCGCTGCCAGTGGGGATTTGGGTGGACCCTGGATTTCGGCATAGTTGGGTCTGACTCTTGAGGTGGGACGTTTGAATAATGCTTGGCTAAGTAAGCATAGCTGTGGTCAGGACTTCATATCGTATGGCGATTTAGCTTAGTGCCAGATGCCACTGCATGTGGCTCTTTGTTGAGGATTTTGCAGTAAGGCCTCTTTATGAACATTGCTTAGGCGGGCAACGTAAGTGGGTGACGAGCATGGGCGGCGAAATCGGGCGGCGAACGTGGGCGAAAGTGGGCGGCGAAAGCGGGCGGTGTGAATGTTGGCGGCGTAAGTTGGCGGCCCAGCGCGATCATCATCCATGTTCGTTGTCACGCAGACGCTTTCGTCTTATCACCGGGCCGCGTGCCGCAAGAAACGCACTCATGAGGAAGAGGAAGAGATGGGTCGGCGGAGGAAAGGCAAGGAGGAAGAAGGAGGAGGAGGAACACAGCAGCAGTCAGACGGAGGAGCAAAAGGAGGAGGAGCATCCTAGCGCTGTTTGCCGGAGCTCGCTGCACATCGCCTTGGTGCGATGCTTGCACGGAGCAGCAACGCAGGAGATGTTAACGAAGAATTACGAGACATATTGCGACCCGCGCTTGAATTACGCGCAGAGCATCGAGGCCGCGTTCGAGATTGCAGACAGCCTGACGTGACACCAGGTGAGGCTGCTTAAAGATGAGACAAGGCAGCCTAGAGGAGGGGAAAATCTGTTGTGCCCCGATTTAGGCTTGCCTAGGGGACTCTCACCTGTCTCTGAGCATATGGTGGATGCGCGGCCTGCGCCAGCCAGCCTTGCCCAGGGTCCTCGGGCCTCTAGGTCGTATTCCCTTTATGTGTTTGATGGCCAGTTTTGCCCAGGTTCCTCGGGTTCCCTGGGGTATTTGGTTTCGTTTCTGCATGTGTGTTGAAATGGCGTTCCCAGGGTTCCCAAGCAATGCCAAGCAATGCAAAACAATGCCCAGCAATGCCAAGCAGCCCCACGGAACGCCAGGCAATTCCAAGCAACGTTAAGCAATGCCAAGGATTGCCAAGCAATGCCCAGCAGTGCCAAGCATCACCAAGCAACGCCACGCAATGCCAAACAAGGCCACGCAACGCCAGGCAATGCAAATCAAAGCAATGCAATGCCAAGCAATGCTGGTTGGGAAACGTGTCCTAATTAGGTCGCGCCAGGTTCATGAGGCGTTCGGTTACCTCTGGGCCATCCGAACCGCCACAGACACATTGGCCATACAAGCTGGCTGTCATCGGCATCCAAGTGTCCAAAGAATCTACGTCTAGAAAGTGGCCTCATATGGAAGGAAGCGATCCCCGGTCCTTAAAAAGGGCCCTCACGGGCCAGGGACATTTGGGGAGGCGTCTTGTCTAGAGGTTCCGAGTGGATAGCTAAGGAGCGCTGCAATGTCTCTTCTTTGACCCGCCGGCACAGATCGATTTAGGCAGCGGCCGCAATTTTAGGAACTCTGTCGGCGGACGTGCTCCCGAGAGAAAAGTAAGCGCCGAGAAGATTGGCAGCTGTCGTGGGCATTCCGTTAGGCGCAAATGCTGCATGGAGGGGAGCATAGGGAATACATTTTCGTCTGCAGGGCGCAGTCAGAAATGAAAGCACCCCACTTTAAATCCGGCGCATTAGTGCCTGGCTTCGCAGGTCTATTCAGCCAGCTTCACGGAGTTCTGGATGAATTCACACAGCGATGTGTTGACTCGAGCGCACGTAAATTGACACAACGTATGTCGATGGGTATCCATAGTCATGCAAGTCGCAACCTTAAAGACACCACGCAGCCACGTGCCCTCGCCTCCATTAACCTCCACCGCCTCCACGTATCACGATCATATATGGCGCGTCTTCGGGGTCGTCCTCCAACATGCTGCCCTTGCCCTGACGCCCCCTCTGTCTGGGATAGCGCAGCCAGTCGTTCCAGAAGTATGTCGACCAGCTGACGTCATGTAATCGATGAAAAGTCTAGATCGTGTCAGGTCTCAGTGAACAGTACACGGCATCACAGCAATGGTGCAGAATTGTCGCTCCAGCAAGCTGGCTTCGGCCACGCGTATGTTTTGTCCCAACCCTTCTATCGTGTTGAGCCGTCGCTTTGAATCCGCAGCGCCGCGCGTCTCCTTCTCCTTTTTCTCCTCTCCCTCCTTCTCCTCCTCCTCCCACCCTCATTGTTGCCCGAGCCAGAGTGAATGTTAGGCGTCGCCCGAAGCTGCGAGGCCTGCTCACTCGCTCGTGGGCTGGTGGGCACAACGACACACCAGAAGGAGGCGGTCTTCCTCCTCCTCCTCGTCCTCCTTCTCATCCTCCTCCTCCTCCTTCTCCCTCTCTCCTCCTCCTCCTCCTCCTCCTCCTCCTCCTCCTCCTCCTCCTCCTCCTCCTCCTCCTCCTTCTCCTTCTCCTCCTCATCATCTTCC